GATGAAGGGTGAAGACCGTGCCGGGTGACAGAATCTGAGGGGGTGACACCATAATAAAAAAACAATACGGCAGCGGTGTCCACATTGGGAGGTGCGCCTCTCAGATGAGGCTTGTACTAGTACCGCAGGAGCTGTATAATAATGATTGAAGAAATGCACACTATTTGAAAATCAAAAATTTACAGCTTTATGTAAACTGTTACATCATAACAGTTACGATTTGTTTTGGAATATAAAATTTAAAATGATGTTTACATTGTTTTGATTAGCCCCTCTTTTGATGTTTTATATTATAATCTATTTTTGATATGTTCAAACCTTAAGTGGTTGAGAAGTCGATGAACTAAAAAGGTGAGCAGCAACATCCGAGGTAGAGATTTGTACCAGAGGTAGAGATTTGTACGAGTGGTAGAGATTTGTACCAGAGGTAGAGATTTGTACGAGTGGTAGAGATTTGTACCAGAGGTAGAGATTTGTACGAGTGGTTGAGATTTGTACCAGAGATAGAGATTTGTACCAGAAGTAGAGATTTGTACCAGAGGTAGAGATTTGTACCAGAGGTAGAGATTTGTACGAGTGGTAGAGATTTGTACCAGAGGTAGAGTTTTGTACCAGAGGTAGAGATTTGTAAGAGTGGTAGAGATTTGTACCCTAGGTAGAGATTTGTACCAGAGGTAGAGATTTGTACGAGTGGTCGAGTTTTGTACCAAATGTCGAGTTTTGTACCAGAGGTAGATATTTGTACCAGTCGAGTTCTGAACTTATTAAAGATCTCTGGAAATGTTATACCAAATAAAGAATTCTCAATTCTCAACATACAGTAGGATGATTGGCGAAAAAAAATCTAAATATACTCGGTATATGTTGATGATACATGTGGCAAAAGAATCGATGATAGCTAAAGAAAAGATGTTTATCTTCAGTAAGTTTCTATTCCTTTAGAAGTTTTTATACTTTTGATTTTATACATTTTATAGTAACGACATTGAGCGGGAAAACTGCATTAGACTTAGCATAGATATAAAGTAAATCTTGAAACATTCGTTACACCAAAGAAGTTATTTGGGCACACTCTTGCTTCAAGCACAAGTAGGGAGTTGGGATTAGGGTGGCGATAAAATATCTAGTCTAGGAATCATCGCTGTAGCGACTAAGTGAAATTTCTGAACATTCAGTGTTTACGATTAACATTCCATACATCTTCATGTTTTAGCAAGAATACTAACAGTAATAGATATGCAATATTAAAACTGATCCGTCTGTTTTCCATCATACTTCACCACTTCCCCACCTGAATGATCAAGTACTTTACTCTCACTTCAATACTAATGAATTATGCCCAAATACTCGAGATGTTTTGAATGATTTAGCAAGAGTGTATGTGTAAATCTGTTTTGACAAGGCAAATACTATATTCACATTCATCACAACTATAAACAAACGGAAGAAGAAGACAACACACCGCCCTAGGTGGGTTACGCATCTTTTAATCTGTCATCTTAGCACACATCAAGTCGACCATCTACAGAAAATGTCGCAACGAATAACGGTTGTATTTTTAGCCTGGAGTGATTGGCGAGACACGCCATTTCAGCATTCTTTACTTGGCTGCACATTCAACACTTTTCACTACCTTCAGCCGCCACCGCACCCCTCCAACTCAGCACATAATAAGGGTCACTGGGGTTCACAAAGTGAATCTACCCCGTATTTAGGTCCAGTTTCTGCCACAAGTTTGGTGACAGGTTTTACCAATAATAATGTGGTTTCCCTAAAGCGTTGGGTGCGATCTTAACGAAAACAGTAATTATTGTAATTACAATTATTATCAATTATTAAATGTGATTAATTATCATTAATTATACCAAATAACATGCGCCGTAATAAACATAATTAGTCAGTCAGCCCACCAATACAAAATTAAGAGTAATTATGCGTAATAATGAGTACAGTAGCATGCACATAAGAATAATTTAGTTCATAGATCGCGTCACTGTCATGGAGGTCAACACAACGACAACACAGCTACATATGCATCTTTCCCTATTCCACCGTTGTGAACAATTAAATCACACCTGTGGTTCGCTGTTTATAACACAATGGTACTAATTACCCCGGTAAACACGGGCTTCTCAGGCATTTCAACAGCTACCATAGCATGCATTATATTATAAAATCTAATTGTATATACAAATACTTGACATATCTTGGCAGTTATTAAATCAAGAAAATTCTCTAAACAATTGTGAAGTTTGTCAATGGGATCTAGTCTATAGACCCCCCTCCTGTTAAAACGGTCGAGAATGTGGACCTCTCTACATCTCCTTCCCCCTGACATGATCCTATCAATCGATACATCAGGGATGTAATGGTGATTCAGACTCTATACATCCTAATGACCACCCTGTTACTATTGTTAGGAAAATAAGATATAGGTAAACAGACGAACGTCCGTGGGGATGACCCAGACTAGTATGTGCACTCACTCAAAAAGTATCATGACCTTAACAGCTGGTCAACAGACTCATGTTTTGATGAGAAACAGAAAAAAAATTTATAATGCCCGATCATCTGTGTCAGCTTTATCCAGCCTTATTATTAAAACCACCAAGCAACTTAGGTGCACAGTGCCCTGTCGATTTACTCGTCTGTCGCTTTATGTACGCCTATGTTAAGATAGAGTGGGGGCGTGTTTGCCAACATTATGACTAACCAGTCTAGGGCATTACCCCACAGTATTCCAACATTATGATTAACTGGTCTAGAGCATTACCCCACGGTATTCCAACATTATGATTAACTGGTCTAGAGCATTACCTCACGGATATTTCCCTCCCTCGTGGTAATTCCCCTCCCCCCCCCCTTCCCCCCCGCCTTCTCGAGAAAACACTATACATGTTCCAGACAAAGTAAGAACCGACAGTTTATATAATGCCTAAAATGGGAAGACAAAAAACGAAGTCAAAGAAATAAATCGTAATTTGTGCTACTCCAAACGGCAATGTGTAGAATCAGCCTCCAGAAAGTGTCCTTACCGTAATCCTTGGACTAATCCTAACCTAACATTGGCTTACCCCCACCTCCTCACCGTTACAAAAAGCCGGACCCCCTCCCCTTATATTACATTACACCTCAGCCTACACACTCCCCCCCCCCCCCCCAAAAAAAAGAAAAGAAATAATTTTAAAATGTATATAAATTTGCAGTTTCATTTTTTTAAACATCGATTTCTTTCTAAAAATATTGACAGGGCTCCGTCAACATTGAGTAAATGAAAGACTATCTTTAACAATTTATGCAAAAAAAAAAAAAACTTGAAACGACGGCTTAAATTTAATTTCTAGTATTACTTTTAAAAATGCAAAAAGTGTAACATCACATTACCTGAACCCCCCCCCCCCTCGTCGCAAATAACGAAACCCTCTCCCTAGGACTGTGATGTCATTGATGGACACCCCCCCCCCCCTAACTACATCTAAACCAAACCTAAAATCGAAGTATGGCGAGTAAACGAGCCGATTTACTGAGTAAGCTTCTTAACTATTTTCTTTCTTATTTAAATGCGCATCGATGACGTAATACAAGCTTTCTGCTCTACTTACAAACCATATAACTATACATATATATTACCTGACCCTAGCAGCTAAACCGGTCGGTACATTAGTGCAGCTAAAGGGGTCGGTACGTCTGTCCCGTGCTTTAAATCTAACAAATGCCATATTGTAGCAAAACTTTTCACGCCGTCGATGTTTATTTTTAACTCCTACGCGAAATTCTGGTATGAACATCCGTTTACATAGTCTCTTTCAAAAGTTAAAAGCTTCCTCGTCTTTGTGACTTGTATCTTTATTACGCTGTCACTTCTTCACAATGTTTAAAGCTTATGAGTTTCAGAATTTAGACTAGTAAGTAGTAAAACAAAATTGAGCCTACAATTTTAATTTTTCTGTAAAATGTTGCCCAACTATAATAGAGCAATGACTATATGTAGATCTATACTATGTTATATAGATGTATACTAAACTAGCTTTTAAGTAGATATGTTTAGTCAATACAAGGTGAACATTCAATAACAGAAATTCTCCAATAGATTTTTTTTTTAAAGCGATGTCAGCATAAATGGTTTAAAAAAGAGGTGTGCCTGAAGCAAGTGGGCGTGTTGTGTGTTCTCCATTGGTGTGCTGTTAACAGTTACTGTTTTGTTCTGAAACACTTCCTTTACAGCTGTGGTGACAGTTGGGCTCCAGTATAACTAATCCAATTTATCATAGAATAAATACCAGCCTAGTATTTCTATCATACTGCAAACCTTTTAACATGTAGGCTTGAATCAAAGAGAGTGACCAAAAACCCAGAGTAATCCATTCAAAATGGGAGGGACAAACAATAGGAATGATATTAAATATTAAAGAAGTGTTGGAAAGTCTGAAGTGGGGGTGGCAATAAAGCAAAAACAGCAGTTAAAATTTACCAAAAGGAAAGGATAAGGATAGGTCATATGTTGGTGACATCACTGCCAGTAAGGAAATGTGTTCTCAGCAAGAAGAGTTTATTTTAATTTCAGATCATGTTGTTAGGATGTGAAAATAACAATCAGTACATTTAAAATCCATTTATTAATAGTGTGATTAGAGCCAAATTAAATAAACAACATGTTGGTTACAAACTAGCACCAAATTTAATTTAATCCAATTACAGTTTTAAATAAGATCCGCAAAGCAAGAATTGGAGATAGAAGGAATGTAACCAATAATCATGGGGAAAGGGGGAAGAGGAATATTTTTTTTTGGAATCTATTTGAACTTCCTGGTACAACTAGTTTTGCCAATAGATGAATAAAAAATGAAAGTTTAAAATAATCAGCTTTTGCTGCTAAATCACTTTATGTCAAACCTTATACTTAGTTTTAAAGGGATAAGAAAATTCTAAATATAAGATATAGCACACATAAATATAAAAATTTATTTTTAAATTCAGTTCACTGTAATTCACTGACTTACCTCATTCCACTTTGGATTTAAATCCCCTTTTATAACAGCTGTTTTCTTTTTGTGACCTATTTGAATGTAGGAAATATTGTATATAGTGTAAACTATTTTGGCTGTTAATTAATACTATGCATATGTAGCCCTAATAGTACTAGTAATACACATAGATCTATTTACATAGATATACCATATACAATACACAAACACACAAAACTTACTATTCCAGTGAAGCAGTTCATTTATAATTTATAATTATCTTTTCATTATCAACTGGAATTTAAATTATGCGGAACAGATATTAGGGGCCTATATATTAGGGGCCTACAATTAAGTAAAATCTGTAATACTTTTCTATCACCATAAATTATAATTAATACTTCTAATTAAATAGTCTACTTAACGTTTGAACTAAACTCTAAACAATTAGGAAAAAAAAAATTGAATATGAATATATCAGTCTGGTTTTCATTTAAATGTGTAGACTTACAAATTCAGATGGGCTTAAAGTCTAAACTTTATATCAGTTAGGAAAGAAAGTGATATTATCTTTTTAAAGTTATTGAGTTAAATTGTGGGGGAATTTAATAATAGTAATAATATATAATATATATTATTATAGGCCTGGGTCCAGGGCCAGCGCTACCTATAAGGCGGGGGGTGCAAATCGAAAGTTTCAGGGGGGTGCAAATCGAAAGTTTGTCCCCGGGTGCCAGGAAGGGTCGCTACACCTCTGATAATACGGGGGCGCGAAAAAAATTGCAGGGGGTGCGCTTTTAATAAGTTTTGCCTAGGGCACTAAATAACCTGGCGCCGGCACTGCCTGGGTCTAATTTGAATACTTTTTCTTCAAGATATAAAAATATAATATATTTCTGTAGTAGGCCTTTTATAATGCCCTGTAGCTGTAGTAATAATATAGAAAACTAGATCTAGATCTATAGAATACAATAGATAGATCTAGATCTAGAATCTAGACTAGAAGAAATGCTTTAGACTTTAGGCCTAATAAAGAATTATTTTTTTTATAGAGGATATAGAATAGATAGTATAGTAATTAGAAGAGTATTAGAGAGATAGCCTATAAATTTAGAAGTTAAGTTTTACACTATTATTATATTTCTATATAAGTATATATTCAATAATATTCATTTTTTTTTTAAATTAAAATTTTATTAAGAGTTTCACCTTGGAATTCGATAACAGCGTATGGATCACATTTTCCAATAGTCTCTGGATTGGGTACATTCTCCGCTCCAATAACAGTCACTTGAAGAGACATTTTGAAATTTATCTCAACTCAAACTTTTTCCCGCAACTTTACATGTCAACACACACAAATATCGATTTACAACATGGTCTCGCGTTCACGTTCAACCGTAGGATAAGCCTGAACATTAGCCTACATTATATTGGGACTTGTTATTTTGCATTATGGGAATGTGTAGGGGAGTCTACTATGTTTAACTTCAACAGGTGGGTGTGGCTTTCCAAAGATGGAACAGATCAGATTGTATTTTAATTTAATGCTAAGGGTTATAAGAGGTTGACTGTTAATTTAATAATATTCACGTTTATTTTATTGGTAATTGGAGGATTTTTAAAAATGTGTTATTTTTGTTACGTTTTAGGATGATAATCGTTAATCTGGACAAGAAAGGTAAACAACCTAAGTATCGAGATGATATGAACAATTGCTTCCCCTTCCAATGTTAAATCAGCGACCGTCAAATGTTGCTCCACTGAGCATGAACCGAACCTGGCACCTACGGGTTCGTGAACAAACGTATTACCACTCAGCTAGCATGACTTCAGATAATAGAATCGAAAATTATATTATGTGATTCAGCTTTTCTGATAGAAATCTTAATGCTAAAACAAAAAAAAAGTCATCTTTTATTGTTAGGTATGCTGTGTAGACGGTGAACAGTTCATTTCTTTAGAGAAAATCAAGCATAGTCTGTTTAAAATATATAAAATAAAATATACAATTAATAAAAGCTCATTTTCCACCACCCATGCCTGATGTTATTTAAATAGTGGTTAATTTTTGCATCAAAGAAAACCATTTATTTATTTATTTTTATTTTATAATTAGGCCTACATAAAAAGCGTGTTATTAAAACGCTTTTTAAATTTGTTTTTTAAATATCTAGATCTAGACCAAAGACCAACTTCGTGACAGTGGCGTCTGGGGGAACTAAAAATAATGCCCCCCCCCCCCCCGCAATAAGTTTTTTTTTGTCCTAAATTTTATATACTACACTTACTACACAAATATGGGCCTACAGTGACGTATTATGAAAATGTTCATGGTAGGTGTTCAAAATGTGACTCCATTTCGGGATGACACCACGATGAAATTTTTAAAAAATTACCGTCAAACAATGTTTTATCTAGTAAGAATAATAAAATAGTAGAGGATGGGTGACACCAAACCGAAAATGGAAACTTTTTGGAGCAGGTTTGGTTGATAGCCTCAGTCACTGCACCAGAGGCGGGGCGACGTCTGGGGTGTAGGGGAAGATTGGACTAAAAGTCACAGGACCAGCCACATTTTGATCACTTAATTACAATTCGAAATATTGCTAGATCTTTCCATCTTTAAGTTTTAATGGTAAAATGAAGCACACGATTTGTTCTTATCCAGCTTTAAAGTTAGTCAAATTAGAATTTTCAAAGTATCACGTGTCACGCTGGGTAGGTTAACAAGTCACATTTTTTACGTCACGGTTTTGAATGTGTTAACTGTATGAAAGGATTTCATTAGATCAGAGGCGTAGCGAGGGGGGGGGGGGCGGACCGCACCGGGTGACACCATTTAGGGGGGTGACACCAAGGCAAAAAATAGCAAAATATATAGAGAAAAATGATAATTTCACTTAATTCGAGTGTTAAATAGTCTTTTAAGAGGTGCAAATCGAAATTTTGAAGGGAGGGGGGGGGGGTTGCAAATCGAAAGTTTGAGGGGGATGGGCTGCAAATCGAAAGTTTGAGATGTGGGGGGTTGCAAATCGAAAGTTTGAGGGGGGTTGCAAATCGAAAATTGAAAGTTTGTCCCCGGGAAGGGTCGCTACGCCTCTGGGGGGGGGGGGGGGGGGGTGACACCATTAAGTGCCGCACCGGGTGACACCCGACCTTGCTACGCCACTGCATTAGATTAACACATATATGACCATAGTCTGCTGGCTTTATGTCGATTATTTTGCAGATATCTCGAGAAATTATATTTTTATCCAGTAACGTCACTAGGTCGGGTGCGGTAACTTATAGTATGGAGCTTTAAAATGTATTTAACTCTAACTAGTTATAAATCAAAATGCACAGATTATACTTACTGTATAAAATTGGATTTCTTAACCATTTGTTGTCAACAGGTGCAATCTGTACCCCGCCAGAGACCAGTGTTTCTTCCAGACTTTTTTCTCCGGGGGGGGGGGGGGGGGGCAGGCACTTGAAATTTTCGGGGGGGGGGGGGGGGGGCGGTAGACTTTCTTCGGGGGGGGGGGGGGCGGACACTGTTAAAAGTATATATTTTCTATATAAATTATATAAATTTCATTTCGTTCGGGAAGAAACTCTGCCAGAGACGTAACTGTTCGTACCACGGAACTTCAGCAAAGAAAATAAGTCTTTCGGTGTTGAAATTTTTATCACCTTTCAGCTCTCTCATAGTCAATACCGGATTAAATTTCTCCTGGCCACCCTGCCGTAAATGTTGGATCCGGACGAAAGACGGACATCTACAAAAAGCAGACAGGAAAAAAGGTCGACATGAGGGGTGTCGCTCACCGTCCTATTTCAGTTTGGTCATCGAATGTAGTAACCCACCCTATCCCTCACGTCGGCGCTATGGTGCACTAAGGGGAGCCTATCGTTGATTGAAGTAGTACCCCTGTGTAAGACCCCCGATCAGCGAACCTAGCCGCTGTAAAAAAATTATGGCACCCAATCCACACAACTGTCAGAGCACCGTTTATACAATCAGAATCCTTTGTGCAAGAGTGTATTAATACAAAACGGACCAAGGAGAATAACTCAATTAATATTTTCATAAAATATCTAACCCTGGTTACGTCCCTTCTATCAACAGACGAACACTTTGATCGTTCATCTAGGATCATCAGCGCTGGCCGATGACCTTTTCTGGAAAGTCACACGCCCAGTGATGCTAACACATCATCGCCTCACATAGTTTGGTCCGATGCGTTTAGCTGTGGTATGCCCAGAGGCGTAGCGACCCTTCCCGGCGCCCGGGGGACAAACTTTCGATTTGCGCCCCCCTCAAACTTTCAATTTGGCGCCCCCCCCCCCTTAGGTCGGCGCCCTGGGACATATGTCTCCCCGCCCCCCCCCCCCCCCCCCGCTACGCCTCTGGGTATGCCGCGTGAAGGAACTACCTCTTTCCAGAGAACCCTATTTCCCTTCTGTTTTGAAAGATTTTGGAGGTATGTCAGTAAGGGCCCTGGGAGTTGATATTCAAAGAAAATATATACGGCTCAAACCTCTGGAATGTATTTAACAACCTTCCAAAGTGTAATGATCGGATGAACAAACAAAATATATACATTTTTTATATATCACTACTTTTTCTTTGCAGACAGTTTCTACAAGTTTACTTCTATTTCTTATTTTACCTTCTTATATATTTCATTTTGTAAAGATTAGAACATGAATTTTTGGCCTTTTGTGACTATTGTGGAAAAGTGGTTTAAATTGCATGATTTGTAATTTATGGAATATCTAAGTCTATTTTAGATTTAAGGATTGTTTACATGCCGTTTCAATATCAATTTGCAAGGCATTATTAAAATGTACTGAAATCATCTCAAATATCCTGTGTAAGAAGCCATTCATGATGCTGAATTGATCACACCACAACAGAATTGACAATTCTTTAGTTAAATACCATCCTTATCAACCATTGTCTTGTTAGTAACTAGTATTTATGATGTATAGTATAGCTTAGCATCAAACTTTAGATTTTAACAATTTTCTAAATGAGACCTTCATTACTCTAGATAATAGTAAAAAAAAATTGTAATAATATACACTTAATTTGAATAATGCTTTTCAAAATTTGATTACATAGAACTTATACCATTACCAGATATTGCCTTTAATATTTTGTAACAAGGAAGATTCAAGAAGAAAATTGCTTCAATGAGATATTTTTCTATATCCATGACATTCCAAGAATGATATTAAACAAAAACATTTCTTTTCCATGTGGAAGTACCAGATTTTATTCTTTCGTTATGCAGAAACTTGGCAGTCAAGGAGTGGCTTACAAGGAAACATGCACTATTTACATTACCAGAAAAAAAAACACATAACCATTTGCAAATACAGTAATTTCAGAATAAACAACACATAAATACAAGTAATACATACTCATCATATTTTGCAACAACTGAGGCTAACCTCACAGCTAGCATTGTTTCTTCCTTATTCATTGAAGTAAACAACGTAAATGAATTTTTGTAAAATTGAGAATGTTCCCTTACAAGCCATTGTAATTATTGTAATGTTTCCACAATCTACTTTTGAATGTTGGGTGAAGATTGACTTGGACATGAAAAAAAAAACAAAAAAAAAAAGCATGCAAATGTCACAGCAAAAGGAACTTTACTGCTAATAAAAAGGTAATAGTTGTAAGGTTTCTTCTCCCATGATGGTACAATGTGATAAAAAAGGCATACAGTATAAAAAAAGTTATAATATTAATTTGCGTGTCACTAAAATGACATTTTTCTTAAAAATGATAACAGCCATAGCTGTTTTATCCCCTCTATGCAGTTATTTCAGTATGTTCATGTCTAAGTTTTACCAAAATAAATACTGAACATTTTTATCTGACACACATTTACTATTAGTTTCTTACAGGAACTATTAACTACTGGGGACTTAGACTGGAACATAATGAAATTCAAAACATGAAAGAATTATCCAGACATATCACACTCAGCACTGGAAAAAATACACTTCTGTAATGGAAGTGTTTACAGTATTGTCAAATCATTATAAAAGTAGTGAAATGTGAATTGATGGTGATAATATATGGACAAATAAAGTAGTAGGTAATATATAATATGACAACATTTCACATTTCTTAAAAGAAAGCAAAACAAAAATTTGATTTACTCCTCATACATATACAAATTAATATCAATAACATAAATGCTCACTGAGAAAGATCTTTGAAAAAAAACTTGACACAAAACAACACATAGTCACTCCTCATTCTTTCACAAAGCCTGGCACATTCCCAGGATATCACATAGCCTCACACTAAAAACCAACTAGTGAACATCAGAGTATTTGACAGTTTTCTAGTTAAACCTTAACACATCACAATGACCACTTATATTTCCATTCCATATTTTAACTAAAGACCAAACTTAAAAAACCAATTCATTACTAAAATGATGAAACGGTTGATCAATTAAAAAAAAAATTGGCTTCAATGCTAAAGAATCTTAATTAGTGCAAAAAAGTTTTGTTATATTTCAAGTAAAAAACTTAAAATAAAACAAAATGTTTTTTAAAATATAACAAATTAAACAATTAATTTCCTAACGTTTGATTTTTAATAAAAAATTATATTTCAGCCGTTAAAGTTAATAAACATTTGTTCTGTATCTTATACTCTGTTGGATAGTCAATATTGCATCTACTTGGTCAGTGTAAGGCTATGACATTTCCTGGGCACTAAGGTTACTTAATCATGATGCGTAGGTACTGAAGGGCATTGTGAGCAGCATTAGCATGGGCCTCATCCATAATTGGCCCTGTACCCTGACATACTGCAACTGGTGAAGTAGACAACTGGACCAGACACTGATTCATACCTAGAACAAAGATTTAAATTTCTTTAGTTTTACACAATTTTCAAATGATACAGACTGAATAATGAGCTGTAATAGACCTGGAGATAGACCTCACACTACAACTTTAATGCTCCAGAGGGTTTTTAATTGTTGAATTAATGAGCTTATTTTTGCAAATTTTCCACACACTAAGATTTACTAAGTAACTGGACATAGTGTTAAGTTCTTAAAGTTCTCCTACCCATAGAACTGTCATCTTTTATGTCAAAATATTGCACTTCAAATCTTTGGACTTCAGCAATCTCCTGAAGCATCTGGCAATAATTTGTAGGCGGTGTCAATGACTGCCCTTGTCCTCTGGCTTGCTTTCCCCCAGCTACCATGACTTTATCATAGAAGCGCTGAATTTCCAGTGCAGACTGAGGATTAACAGTCTTAGCCTTGCCTTTAGATTGCTTCAATCCAGTAAAAGTAGATTTTTCAAAGCCCTGAACAAAAAATTTACACCTTATTTTTTTTAATACTAAATTTGCAATGTAAAAAAATATTTAAAAACAGAGACAAAATAATGCCAAAGAACTGTGATCATTCTTGTGGTTGAAAGAAATTTATTAAATCTATAATTTAATATCATATAAATCAAGAATCATAAGTTTTAATAAGTAGGCCTATTCTAAATTTGATTTTCAAAAAACATAAAAGAGAAGCTGTCCAATATATAGAGATGGGGTGTCCAAAAACTATTCTTTGGATTAGTGTATAAATGATTTTTTTCTATGCACTGTACACAAATAATGCAACGAAGCTATTTTCTGTACCATAATATAATGTTTTTTTATATCTTCAAAGCTATATCGGACAGAAATGAGCATGATAGACACAACAAATAAACCGGAAGTGGTTTCCCCTAAACTTTCTTAAATATTCATAATAATATATAACGGGGGATGGCAACTCGGGATATAGACATGATTTTTAATTACTTAAACTTTTTAAAATAGAATCTCGTAGAAAAAAGAATTGAGCACCAAGTGAACCCCAAGCAAAATGTGTATAATAGTGCGGAATATTATTAGTAGTTTATAAATTCACATGTGTGTTTTGAGAAATCAGAAATAGCATAAATTACTACTTCCTTCAACGGAAATTACTCAAAATTTGACAGAACGCAGAGAATTAGATCTTTTACTTACATGTGAAATTTCTCTTTATCTATCTGAAATAGTACTCAAGTTATAGGCTTTTGAAAAATTGAAAGTAGAAAAAGTTCCACTTCCGGCTATTGGAAATCGCTGAAAAGTTGATACTGAACTACAAATTTGATATAATACTTAAATATGAAATTTCATCAACCTAACTGTAACGGTACTCAAGTTATCGTGTTCACAGACACACACATGCACAGAGACATACGAACAAGATTGCAAAACTATGTTTTTCCTAATCAGGGAGATGTAAAATGTCGAGATTTGTAACAATCTTCAATTTGTTTTTTTTGCACGATTACAATAATTTCTGTATACTTCGTATACGAGAAAGTAAAAATAAAAAGTATAAAAGACATACCAAAGGTATCTCTTCATCTTCATCTGAATCTTCAAGTGCTTTTTCTGCTTCTTTGTCTTGTGAGATAGCTTTTAACTGAGCCAACATATTGGCTGCAGCTGTGCGTTTGGCAGTTTTTTTGGAACGCCCTGTTCCTAAGAAATAGATTTATAGTTTTTTTTTTATTTTGTTTGAATTAAAATTAAGATTCTAAATTTCTCCTGCTGGAACAATGACTTGATATTAACTGTAACTTAGGTAGTCATATTGAAAGAATACCTTTGTCAGTAAATTTTCCAAGTTTGATATTGCAAATAAATTCTTTTGCATGAGGAGGACCTTGTTCTGTTATAAATTCATAAATTGGAGGTTTAAGAAGTTTTTTTTGTGTAAACTCCTGAAGTTCTCCTATTGGGTTTCCAACCTCTTCATCTACACTTTGATTAAAGCAAAGTAAATATCCATTATGCATTAATACTTATATGCATTTTAAAATAAGTAACAATCAACTATTAATAAGATAAATTAACAGAAAAAAAACTATTAGCTGTACCATCAGTTTTAATTTATCTAACTCAATCTTGTTCTTTGAAAATTACTTACAAAAAATAAGTTAACTTTTAAATATAAATTAATAGAAAGAAAACTTTCCAGCAGATCATGTTGACTATATATTTATTATCAGCAACCTTATGAATATTATGTCAATATTAATTTTTAATTAATACATTTAATGACCCAGTTTCCCATTGAAACCTATTTTTTGGATGCATATAAACCACTACATATAAAGATAATAACAATAAAAGCCTCATTTATATTTTATTAAATATGTTGAAACTTGTACAATAAAAAATGTATGTTGGTTGTAGATAAAAGTTTATTTTAATGTAAATTTTTTTCACTTTAGCATTGAGTTTTGAGAAATTAGCTGTAGCTGGTTTGTCAAAAGGTTCAGGGGCATTACATTTTTTAGGACAGCAAATTACATCTGTATCTAAAGGCTTCATTAACAATTTTGAAATACTTAAAAATAATGTGAACTTACACTTCTACTTCTTCCTTTACCTCAACCTGGACATTTGGTGTTACACCTAGGAGTATGTTCAAAGCATTCTGTGCAGCAGCATGTTTAGCCTTTTTTTTACTGGAACCTACAGTAATAAAGATTACACTAAAGAAAATATATATTTTACATTATTTCATGTTAATACCAACTCTAGATACTCTAATATAATTGGATTTTAAGTGTTTTGGAATTTTCAATAATCTAAAAAAACTGATTTTTAACCTTTTCCAGTGGCCACAGCATTCTCCCCTACTGTAACTCTCATTATGAATGTTGGTTCATGAACAGCACCTTCATTAGCAATTAGATCATACTGTGGGGTTATAGCATGTTTTGTTGCATATTCTTGCAAATAACTTATGGGAGTTTTACCAGGTGGTACAGTCATCTGTTAAAAAAGAACAAGTTGTATACAGAAGATTATCAGACAACATAAGTTTAAAGTTATTCGATCTTTGATATAAAAATGTTACAATATTTAGAGAAAACCAAGTATCCATAATTTGTGAGACGTGAAACGGCGAGGTGGTAAATTGACGAGAAGGGTGCAAAACAGTCTGTCATGTGACATTTTGTCTCACATTTGATCCCAACCGATTAGAAGGTATAATAGTTGTAAATAGTGGGGGTAAATAGCGCTGATATCTGCACCCGAATTCCAATGTGCCTATGATTTACAATAAATCAACTTTGATGCGGACTTTGATTTTTAAACACTTTAAGTTTAAGTTGTTGTATTATCAATGTAGCAGCTAGCCTCAATCACATTTCATTTAATTAATCGATTATATTGACTTTAAATATCACGTAGTTCAAAACAACCCGAATTAGGGCCTAAAATATTTAATATTTAAATGTGTTACTTTAAGCTTAAGTAAAATGTAATTATTTTTTCTCTTATTCTGTTCATTTAAATGTAATTTATTAAATTTTATATCTGTCCGAAATTTTCTTTGAATAGTTTTTAGTTAGGCCTGCATATTAAATGATATTTTCACCCGAAACAATCGGTTTATTGTAAAATTTTGCGGTTCTATAAAAGATATAAAAGTAAGGTAGGTTACATTTCTAGAGTCCAGTTTAAAAAACACTATGAGTGGTAGTACAGTAGGCATTATAAACCAAAGCTTATGTTGACTCAGTGATCCCAAGTAAAGTTTTCTTACTGCTTGGTTAAGCCATTAAGGCTTAATGGAAGAATGAGTGACATACTATCAATTTAAGGACGTATGCTTTAATCTCTTTATGAACTCCCAGTGACCCCAAGTACTGTTTTTGGATTATTTAGATACTGATGTCCGATAATAGAGTCTAGACTCTTCCATGTTTGGTTGTTAGTAGTATAGTAATCTCAACTAATTTTATTGTTAGAAATTAAGGTTAGGCGTATGGTAGGACTAGGGTTGGGGACAGGGTTAGCATTGATTGAAATTAGCCAGCCATGTGTGTATTTAGTTAACTACAAGTAACCTAACACCCCTTTTTAAAAGAAGATTCTATTATCAGACACTCACTGGTATATTCTGGTATAAAAATTCTGAAATGTTTATGCTTTGACATATGCTCTAAGCTTACTGCTATCCCTGCATGGTCAAGGGTTTACCGTGAGTTCACATGGACTTTAATTATCAGCATACATGATACGTCATAGCTTAGGGTCATTGTGATAATGTGAGTTCATGTAAGTTAATTTATAGTATCATGGCTTGCAATTATGAATTTCTACTTTACCCATTGCCATGAAAATCTTAACTGACACGAACACATTTTCAAGAAAAAAAAAGTTAAATCTAGATCTAGAAAAAAATAGTACACATTCATTTTCAATATTCCAAATTTTGGATTTTTCTTAAGTTTTGACAAATATAATTTAAAAAACTAAACCAAAAATTCATAAAATAGGCCGAGTGATTTCCTAACGTTTTTGTGTGTTTCAGTTGTGTTTATAATAAATTACGCTCAACCGAAGGTGAAAGTGAAGCAGCAAATAAATTATGCTAAAATGGAGTTTTACCCTAGGATCTATTCAATTCTATAAGGGGTCATCCATAAATGAAGTAACGCTTTTTTGACGATTTTTACCTCCCCCCCTCCGTCACACGTTGTCACAAAAAGCCAGACACCCCACCCTAAAATGACGTCACACCTCAGCCTACAACCCTCCTCAAAATTGCAGTTGAATTTTTTTTAAAACATCGATATTTTTCTAAAATCTTGTCTGAACTCTGTCAAAATAGAGTATTCTAATCAATTCCTATTACAATTTATTAAAACAGTTTTCTAAAACTCGAAATAACATCTAAAATTCGTTTTCTAACATTGCTTTTTTTATCGGGGTGTGGGGAAATTGCGAGACGCGAAAAGCGAAATGGCGAGGCGGGAAAATGCGAGAAGGTAATGCGAGACATACCTGCGGAATTAAGGGTAAATAGCGAGACATTTTTTGCGAAAAAATTTTGTCCTTTTTTTTTCATCTTTATTTGTTTAAATTATTTTTTGTTTGTTTTAAAATAAACAAGCATTTAGCCATACCCTTTAACACGAGTGTTGTATGTTGTTATTTTTTATCTAGATACTAAGAAGATAGATAGATCTATATCTAGATCTATCTATTTAAAAATCCTAACATCGTTGCTGTGCTACTGTCATCGCCCGCTCTTGTTAGCGAGAGGAAAATCCCGTCTCAGTCGGCATTAATTTTAAAAATCTAGCCCGCTCATGTTTATACAAACGTGAGCGGGGTCATTGTGAATTGGTATATTCTGTAACATGTAGGCCTATTCATGGATTGTTGTACTTGCAAAAAGTGTAAAAGTATAAACATTTCTAAAAAGTGCAATTTATTTTTTATTAAGTAATTTTAATTACAAACAAAATTTACAAACAAAATCTTCTGAAACAGTCCTCAAACACACCTCGTGACACCATATTTCACACATAGTACACCCAACCTAGTATATTAGACTCCCATTTGTACATTTTTCTTTTGCTACTTCTTCCAATCCACATTCACAACATTTCACATTCTCATCACAGTTGACCTCCTCGTTCATCCCACAAACAACACTGGCACCCATGTTCTCATCATCATCATCCGCACGCTCAACATCTGTTTTCCGTTTTTTATAATTTGTATTTTTTATCATTTCTGTAATTTTGGCAATGTCTTGCTCTTTGTTGTCACCAGCAGTTGAGTTTTTTTAAAACATCGATATTTTCCCAAAATCTTGTCTAATTTCGGTCAAAATAGAGTATTTTAATCAATTCCTATTACAATGTATTAAAACAGTTTTCTAAAACTAAAACGCGAAAAAACGTCTAAAATTCTTTTTCTAACATTGCTTTTTTATAGTGTGACTTCACATCTAACTCCCCCCCCTCATCACACACCGTCATAAAATTACAGACCACCCCCCCCCCCCCCTACGAGTGTGACTTAATTTATGGAAGACCCCAAATAACACCACCACCAAAACCAAAAAAATTCAGACAAGTTCAACTTGGTTTTAAAAATATTTGAAGTAGGCCCATAGCTTTCGACATAGCACGACCAACTGATAATATCGGTGACGTCATTTTATTTTGTTGTATCCAAATGATGTAGGCATTTCCTTGTGCTTAGATTTATATGGTAAAAAAAGCTAGAAATAAAATCGGCTATAATACACAATTTCTATGCAACAATAGAAAATATGTTTGCGGCGGCAGCGGATCCGGGCACGGCGATCTCCAAAGACGGTAAATCAGGCGGCCTCGGCGTTCCACACAAAAGACAGAAGTTGATCTATCGTCGGCGGTATTTCCGTCGGTTTCGAACAAGGTGGTATTCTAAGTCGACACAAAAGATGGGGGGAGTTGACAAATCATCAGTATGTCTAGCGACGGAAAAATCGGAAGTTTTAACAATGTAAACGAAACGTCTTTGAAGTCTGGACCAAATACCACTGAAAATCAGGTGCGGTAAATTTTTCGCAGAAATCTTCGCATTTCAACACCACCCAGCGTAAGTATCGGCTTGTGGTAAAATGCGAGACAAAAAAGTCACGTGACCGACCGTTTTCGCGCCCTTCTCGCATTTTCCCGCCTCGCCATTTCGCAATTTCCCCACACCCTTTTTTATCATGCAAAAGTGTGATGAACCCCCCCCCCCCCTCATCACAAAATTCCCGTTGGCCTACTAAACTGTACATCTAGATTAGTAGAGATGAGAATAAGATAGATCTAGCTAGATTCTCTAGTTAAAATTAAAAAGAGAAAGATTCTACTTTTTTCTAGATTTAGTTAATAGTTAAGTTAGATCTAGTAGTTTTGGGACTATTTTTAAAAAGGAACTGTTATGGATCTTAGTGGGCCATTCAAAAACAGTAACAGTGATAGTATTATTACATCTGATTATGTCGTAGATATCTTTAATAATTCACATAAGAATTATTACTTTAAATAGGATGGTCTTCTTTGAAATCTAATTTTTGGCAAACCGGCTTAATTTCAGATAATCAAGGCTGTGCAGAAAATATACTAAGGGAAGCGACTGTTTTTTTTGTGTTTACCTGTTGCCAAGCCAAAAGAAAGTAAACAAAGCAAAATCCTTTTATGGGATAGTTATTGTTATTTTATGTTACAGTATGTTTACTATAAGTAGATTTATACAAAGTAATTATAATAATGTATTATTATCATCATTGTAAATATATGTGCATAGATATATAGATATATTTAACTAAAATAATTTAAACGCCAAATTGGTATTTTCTTTTCTATGTATAAAACTTAAACAGGAACATATTGACTTGGGAATATATTAGTATGTGACCCCTAAATAAGCCCTCATTGGTCATATTCTCCACTCTGAATAAACTTTTTAGCGCAATTTCCATTCTGGAGAATTGCGTTTATTAACCCGTCATTTCTGGATGGATGAATGGATGGATGGATGGATGTATGAATGTATGAATGTGTGTCCGCAGCTTTAAGTCGTATCTCAGTCCCTCCTCAACGAAGCAATATCGATGACTAGTTCCAAAAGCGATTATGTTAAGCAAGTTACGAGGATGAGCATAGGCCATAAAAATTCCGGGTTTCTTTCATGAATTTCCCGGAAAAGCCAAAAAACCTCGAAAAAATGCAGTTTTTGGCCCATATCTCAGCAACCAGACCACTTAGCGACTTGAAACATGTACCAATCGATTCCGGCCATAATTTAGAACAATATTGCCGAAGAAAGTTTTCAAAAATATCATTTCGTTCGGTCACAAAAATTTTTTTGAATTAATTAAAATTTGGACCGAATTAGTAGGCATTTTATGCAACCACACCACATGCGTCATCACGTTCAATAGCTGCGCGATCACGTTCAATGGCTGCGACGTCACGTTCGGTAGCTGGGCGCGCAATGGTTTTTAGTCATGTTACTCTATTGTAAATAAAACATGTAAAATACTGAATTTTTTTTTAATAAAAAACGTTTTAATAACTAACCAATGGTTTTACTAGCCCTGCTCTTGATTTACGCTACGACAGAGCTATTTTTAGATAACACAAGGAAATTGCACTAAAATTGTCACTAGACTTTTTTTAATTACTTGTTTTTTTAATGCATAGGCCTACAGTATATTTAGCATAGAGTATAAATACTGTCATAAGTAAAAAAGTATTCGAAAAAAACACCAAACCAACTAATGGTGGTCGTCAATAAAGGAGCTCAGTCATGGGAAAGTGTGGAGGAGAGGGGGGGGGGGGGGGGAGAGATTTTGCCTTATTTAAATTCGAAAAACAAACCAAACCAACTAATGGTGGTCGTCAATAAAGGAGCTCACAGTCATGGGAAAGTGTGGAGGAGAGGGGGGGGGGAGAGATTTTGCCTTATTTAAGAAGCGTCACAGCAGTTTTGTGTGTAAATCTTTTTAAAAAAAAGGCTAGGAATATATGGTGGGTTTTTTTTTAGGTTAAGATTTACTTATTTTTTAAGGTAAAATTTACTTAAGAGCCTAGGCCTACTAAGGGGTCGTCCATAAATGACGCCACACTAGTGACGGTGTGTGATGAGGGGAGGGGGGGGGGTGTTCAGATGGTTTGACGTCACACTTTTGCATTATAAGGAGCAAAGATAGTCAGTGTTAGAAAACGAAATTTAGCCCTTATTTCGCGTTTAAAATTTTTATTTTAATAACTTGTAATAGGAATTGATTAAAATACTCTATGTTGACAGTTCAGACAAGATTTTGGAAAAAATATCGATGCTTAAAGAAAAATACAACTCCATTTTTGAAGGGGGGGGTGTAGGTCTAGGTGTGATGTCATTGTAGGGGTGTAGTCTGGAATTTTTGTGAGGCTGTGTGGCGGAGGAGAGGGGGGAGGCCAAAATCAAATCGTCAACAAAGCGTGAGATCAATTATGGATGACCCCTAAGAGAAAAAAAGAATATCAACAATCATTGTATGAATGCATAGTGATTTGAAATCAAAACAAAACACGACATTTAGGCCAGTCCTAGGGGTCGTCCATAAATGACGTCACATACGTAGAAGGAGGAAAGGGTGGGGGGCATTTATACTCACACTTTGTACGGGATACATTACAGAAATGTGTCACATTGGGAGCAGGGCTAAGTTGTTTACTTTTGTAATAGAGAGTCGTCCTTCAATGACGTCTCGCTTTATTATTATTGTTTATCATTCGATTTTTACCTCGACCCCTCCCTATCACCATACATTAAAAAACGGTGGAAGGTGACGTCACTCTTTCTTTTAAAGTTAATTTTGATTAAGCAGTGATAACAGTTGATCAAAGTATATACCCATTCAAATAAAAAGCATGCCGTTATTCCCCCTCCCCCCTCCCAAAGACGTTTGGGTTGTTAATAAGCATCCAGGTTTGCTGATTCTAGATATAGGTCCATCCTGAATTTGAGCATTACTAATTACTTTTCTTATTTTAAAATTGTTAGGTTACTAAAAGATCGATAGTGTAATGTGTCTCTCATTTATTTTTGTAGGACGGTAAGAGGTATGACCAGGAAGGGAGCTAAAACCTGATACTGAAGTAAAAGTGCTACTACTGTGATAGTGCTACTGTTAACTGATTTACAGATCTAGAATCTAGATCTAGATCTATATCTAGATCTACTAGTCAGTACTTAGAGATCTATCCACTACTTCGGTAAAACTCCATTTTAGCGTATTTTATTCCCCCGCTTCACATTCACCTCCAGTTGAGCGTATTTTATTATAAACACAACCGAAACACACAAAAACGTTAGGAAAACACTAGAGTCTAGACTAGAGTTCTAGAGTAGATCTACTTTTTTTTTTTATGTATGTGATTTTTAATTAGAAAAGGTAAAAAAAAAACAACATAAAAAAGCGTTAGGTAATCCCTTAGTTTAGCGTCGGAAATTATCGGGTAATGTTTGTTGAGTTTCGGTAATTAGAGTTACGGTAAACCATGGTTTACTTGACCATTGAAATATAAATAAATTGAAAGTCGATTGTAGTAAATTAATGTTTTAATTTTTTAAGTTTAATCGACAAAAGGAAACAAGAATAAATATAATAGTAGATTTAAATTAGTAGATCTAAAAATAAAAACATATATAAATATAAATAATGTATCAAATGTAATAATTTAATGTTTTTGGCTTGCAGCGGATTTGCGACCATTAATTAATTAAATCTAGATCTAGCTAGATATCTAGCTGCTAGGCCAAGTAAAAAAATCTAGATTACGAAAATAGTAAAAATGATTACAAAATGTAAAAATGATTACAAAAATAAATCTATCCAAATTTTAAACATTCTGTTTAAAAATAAAAGAAGACGCCAAAAAAGTATGGTTTACGGTACTTCCGGTGAATTCCGGAAGTGTGTGACAGACTTTGTTATTGTTTTACTGTTTTTTACTGCTATACGATTCCGGAATAATAACCGACGCTAAACTAAGGGATTACCAAGCGTTAGAACTGTTCCAATTAAATATAAATACCGGTTGATCGTCAGCGGGAGAAAAAATCCTTACACTGCTACACACGGTCGTGGGTTCACCGTGAGTTCACATTGACTTTAGGCCTAATTAATAAATTATCAGATTGTGTCAAAGCTCGGGCAATAGCTGTTTGAAATTGTGTTGGCCTCAGTTGTAAGTTCATAAATGTTTATTTATAGCAGGGGTCTCCAAACTTTTCAGCCCGAGGGCCGCATTAACTATCAAATATCAGTTCGGGGGCCAGAGTTTCTTCCAGGCATCTGTTTGGGTTGGCGATGCCCCCCACCCCGAAGAATGTCTACCGCCCTCCCCCCCCACACCCCACACGAAATATAATTTATATTGAAATATATACAAGTGTCCCCCACCCCCTCCCCGGAGAAAAAAGTCTGAATGAAACACTTTCGGTGGCAGACAGGTCACTCGAGGCCCAAGTTTGTTCTCAAATTGGAGACCCCTGATTTATAGTATCATGCCTGGGAGATACTTGTAACAATACAAACTTAACCGCCTTGCAATTGTGAGTTACGTTTACGTACTTCACCCATTGCCATGAAAATTCTAACTGACACACGAACATAACACATTCAATATTCTAAATTTGGATTTTTCCCAAGTTTTGACAAAAGTAAATTATCAAAATCTAAAACACAGTCATTCTCTTTTTTTTTTTTATTCATCTTTATTCATTTGTTAAAACAAAAATACAATACAAATAAATAAATTGTGTTTTCCTAATGTTTTGGTGTGTTTCGGTTATTATAATAAAATAAAAACTGGAGGTAAACAAGCAATGGAGAATAAAATACGCTAAAATGGAGTTTTACCCACTATTTCACTAACTTAATACTTAATTTAGGTAATCTATCGTTTTAGCGTAATCAATTCGGCTGCAGTAGTAATGTGCGGGAGAGGTAACTGATGAATATATATATTTAAATGAGTTTATTTATACGAAGTGACTACTCGGAAGAAGATTTTTCTCCCCAACGTCTCCACTTAGTCGGCAAAAGATAGCTCTGAGCATCCGCAGTGACCTATGGCTAGGGTTAGGGCTAGAATGAGGGTTAGGGGTAGGATTAGGGTTAGGACTAGGATTAGGGTAGGCTTTTTGATGAGAATTACAGAATGATTTTTTTATTAAAAATGTATCAATAATAGCTAGCACACTAGTAAACTAAGCCAATTTAACATATTTTAACTTTCTGTGCAAAGTCATTATTACTGAAAAAAATTCCAAAGTCAGGTCAGCCCGTGGCACCCTCCACTGAACTTGGACAGAAGGAAAAAAAACTTGACCCGTGACCGTCATTAAAACAGAACGAGCCGGCCTGCGGCATAACATACGCCGCTATTTAGTTGTTTTTTCTACTTTTCAGTAATTCATAATTTGTGAATTCAACAGTACCAACGCTGCCACTGAAAATATTTCTTTAAAACACTATAAGTAGCTCGTTAAAGACCATAACCCCCCCCTTCTCCTCCCCCCTCCCCCCTCCCCCCCCCCTCCCTCCCTATGTTTAAAATCGTTTCAAACTAAATTATCTGCCCCTAATAGTCGTCACTAAACCCAGCTCTGCTTGTAAATATTTAGAGTGAACACAGCTCACTAAGACCATGTAGGGGTGGGGTGGTAGGGAGCGCGTTTACAGCTTGTTTTGTAGCGTCTTCCAGAAGAGAATTATATATATACGAGCCGGCCCGCGGCATAACATACGCCGCTATTTAGTTGTTTCTAATTTTCAATAATTCATAATTTGTGAATTCGACAGTACCAACGCTGACACTGAAAATATTTCTATAAGTAGCTCGTTAAGGACCATAACCCCCCCCCCTCTCTTCCTTCCCTCCCCCCTCCTCCCCCCCCCCCCTACGTTTAAAATCGTTGGCTCTGCTTGTAAACATTTAGAGTGAACACAGCTCACTAAAACCATGTAGGGGTGGGGAGGTAGGGAGAGCGTTTGCAGCTTGTTTTCTAACGGCTCGAAGAAGAGAATTATATATATAGATATAGATTTGCTTTTTTATTTTTTAGTAAACATGTGCTTAATCTTACCCAATAAGTGATACAAATTTGAAAATTAATTTTAATTACTGTTGTAAAGTGAGAAAAACAGCTTAATAAACACATGTTTTCTTGAGGGGTGTGACCCGGGTGTGGCACATCGCAATTGCAACTTTATATTTCTGTGTTTCATGACTAGATATGTTTACAATCAGCATGCTATGCTTTTAAAATTGATAAAGGGTAAGTATTAAGTATAACAAGTTACAAAATCTGCAATCATACTTTCAGTTTAAAAAATAATAAAAACGATCATCAACGAACCCTTAAATGTGGTTTAATATTCAATTATCTTTAGTATTTTAGTAGAATATGCTAATATTTATTCATATTTAAGCCATATTTATTAGTTACCTTATCCCTACATTACTAGTGACGGTGGAATTGATTATGCTAAAACGATAGATTACCCTTAAGTTAATACTTAGGACCTACTTCTTATTTTGTCTTATAATTTTCTAGATCTAGACTGATTTAAATCTACTCTAGATTCGGTAGTAGTTAGATCTAGTTTATATAAAATTATAAAGTCACTATAAAATATAAAAGTATAGTATCATTAAAAATAAATAAAGTTCTATAAAGTATAAAGTAACCCTTAGTACTAGTGTAGGCCAATGCCCAATAGCCCAATAGTAATACTAATAGTCACTAATAAATTAATTAGGGCCTATTGCCTAAAAAATAGGATTAGTTAGTACTAGAACTTAGATCTACTAGTAAAAGTTAGTAGGCCTAACTAAAATAACTAAAGTAAATCGGTAGTTACCACTTTAGTAGTTAGTTTTTAGAGGTTTACTAAATTTTCGTGGACGTCCACATACGGGTGGGGGGCGTTTGTCGTAAGTAGATGCATATCGACATGGGTCGGAGGGGCCCGAATTCCACAATTTTTGGGGCGCTGGGAAATTGCGTGACGCGAAAAGCGAAATGGCAAGGTGGTAAACTGCGAGAAGGGAGTGAAAACCGTCGGTCACGTGACATTTTTGCTTCACATTTTACCACCACCCGATACTTACCCAGGGTGTTGGTAGGATGCGAAGCTATCTGTGAAAATTTTAACGTGACAGATTTACAGTGATATTTGATGCAAACTTCATCAAAGACGTTTAGTTTACACTGTCGCTTGACATTCTGATAATTTGTCAACTTCTTTTGTGGCGACTTAAAATACCACCTTGTTTAAAACCGCCCAAAATACCGCCGATGATATATCAACTTATTTCTTTTGTGTGGAACACCGTGGCCGCCTGCCGCCATTGTTGCAAAGTAATTTTGCTTTATTATGTAGCAGAACGAGCCACAGGTGTAGCCTCAACCAACCGGCGGATGTGTTGCATTGAGTTAAATATAAACTAAAAAAAATGTATTTAATAGGTCAGGCCACATACCACACACCCTGAGTGTTTTGTGTTGTGCCGTAATAAATTTAAACTAATAAACTAAATAAATAATCTCCCTTTATTTTCTTTAGCTATAATTAAATTAACTAATTAAGTAATGAGATTACACAATTCCTGTATAATTTATTTTTACTATTAAAGAAACAGCTGTATTGTTTTTAATACAAATGTTACACTTTTGACCCTAAACACGTTAGTAATTTTTTAAAAATGCGATGGAGAAGAGGTCTATAGAGACGTTTTTTTTTTTCGCTGACAAGAAAATGAGAGCAGGCGGTCGTAGGATGTTAAGATTTTTTATATAGAGATCTTTATAGGACCTGTTTATAAAAAAATCAAAACTAGATCTAGATTAAAAAAAAAAAGAACAACACACAACGTTTGTGATATATCAGCTTCTTTAGTTTATAACTTAAAAAAAAAATTAACAACCAAAAAAACACGAAACACATTTTCTCCACAATCTGTGTCTCACTGTTTACCCGTGATACCGCATGTATGTCTCGCATTTTCTTCTTGCATGTTACCGCAACGTTATTTCGCTTTTCGCGTCTCGCAATTTCCCAACACCCCAATTTTTGTGGACGTCATAAATGGATGACCCCTAAACTCCTAAACTAAAACTTGCCTAACTGAACTCATTTGTGCTTGAGAGTGTTATACTCTTATAGTGACAGTTGCTGTTGTACATTTGACGACTTAACTTGTTGTCTTATTTATTTAAGTAATAGGCCTACTAATTATTTATTATTCTTATGCTTATTGTTACATTGTAGCCTGCTGTACAAAGGTGTTTGCTGTTGTAGGTTGAAATGAGTGAGACAAATAACCTGTCTTCTAACTCTGTAGAGTTAATAAAAGATGAAACAAGATTTAATAAAGTTGTAGTCGATGCTCAAAGGTATGTAGAGACATGTAGAATAATTAGACCTAGGCCTGTCTATCATAATCAAAATCATATTATTATTTAATAGGCCTAGGCATTAAGCCTTATAAGTTTATTTTGATAGACCTAATAAATTAGTCCTAATAATTAGTCCTCATTAACAAAATAATAGTGGGGAAAACACTAACTGGCGTGGAGTAAGGTGGTAAAATGGGAGAAGGGTGTGAAAACTATCGATTATGTGACATTTTTATCTCATATTTTATATTATGCACCACATGGTTGGTAGGCTGGGTGGGGTGGTAAAATGCAATGATTTCTGCTAAACTTATACAGCATCTGAAATTTCTATTTGTTCATCTTTAATGGAAGCTCATTAGGTGAATTTCAGTAAAACTTGCATCTACACTCCTATGATATAAATATTGATATTTATATAGGCCTACACACACACACACTATATATATATATATATATATATATATATATATATATATATATATATATACACACACACACACACACACACACAATATATTTTGTATAATTTATAATGGGCCATTCAGTCTCTCTGTCATTTTATTCCTTTAAACATAGGTGTGTTGTCTCAATGCAAGTGCAATGTTGACATGAATTTAAAATTTAAGGGGGGGGGGGGGGGGGGGGTTGGCTATCTTAGCATAACTGCCCAGGCAAACTCATTTAGCAGTTTGTGATTAAACGTTGGGGAAATGTCCATGGGCAATGTAACATTTTTGTTACTAGTAAAGGCTAATTTATTTTGTATTTACTTTGTGCAAACATCAGGTGATTACATGTTTTATTTTCTTTAAGTGATAGTTTGAATTGAGCAATTTCTCAATAATGATATTTGTTTAGTATATAATTGAAAACTAAGCTTTCTTTGAAAAAAAGTTTTTTCACTGAAGATTGATATATTTTTTTTAGTCATCTTCTTGTTGTTCACTTTGCTGCATCATGGGCAGAGCAGTGTCAACAGATGGGGGAAGTGATCAATGAACTTTCCAAGGACCCTCAATTTTCACATGTTACTTTTGTTACGGTATGCCATTGATCAGTCTTAATCAGTTTAAGCATAAGTTAACTTTAGATACTAGATTTAAAAAAAAAAAAAGAAGAATGTATCTTAAGTATTGGAATAATTGATAATTATTAATAATAGCAAACTAACATTATGAATTGCAGGTTGATGCTGAGAGTTTAGCTGAGGTTTCCTACAAATATGAAATAGTAGCAGCACCTACATTTATTTTCTTGAAGGTAATGAAATCATCTAGATTTTTAAAGATTATTAGTTGTTTGTTACTAATTGTCAATAGTTTATTTAGCTTATGTATGTATGTAAGTGAAGTATCTGGTTGGAAAGGCTAGACATAGGGGTCAGTCAAGGATATTAGGCTTTAAGGACTTACATGTTGCATTTGTATCTGATGAAGGTTGAAAACAAGTGGGTGGGAGGTGGCTTTTATATGTACCTAACAGCTGAGTTATTTGGAGCTCAGTGTGGTCAGGTTGGTAAAGCACATGGTTGCTAAACTGAATAGTCCCGAGTTAAAACTTCTGGGCAGATGAGCCTCAATAACAGGGTACAGTAACCCATCTAGGAGAGAACTCCAAAATCAAACAACTTTTGCCTGTAGTTTTAGTTTGTTCTTGGATGGACAAATGCTATGGAAGCAAATACAGAAAGAAAAGCAGGCTGAAATTGGAGTCAACTGTCTGTATGGCCTATAACAAGTTGACACACATAATTCTTAAGTGCAGTTGAGGAAATCCCTTCCAACATTACAATTAAGAATAAAGAAGGAAAAAAAGCTGACTTATTCTATTTTGTAAAACAAGCTGATGGTTCATCAATGTGTTAATAAAATTATAGGCTGGAAAGCAAGTTGACCGACTGGATGGTGCCAATGCAGCAGAGCTAACAGCAAAGGTTACTAAACATTCTTTCACAACTGTTGGAGATCTCAACCAGCCTTCAGCTAAGCAGGTAAATACTGATCCAGTTTATGTAATATTTTAGCTTGAATTTTCCATGCATTATGACAAAGGATTAAGTTAATATTGAACTCAAATTTGTGCATGGGTCTGATAAGTAATATTATTCAAAATTATTTTCGGGAGATACTGCAGTGCAAACTCAAAGTCCAACGATAGCAGTATGTTTAAATTGATCATTTCCATTTAATAAAACATCAATTTTTTGTTGGTTTAATGTTGTTGACGTTTCTGTAGCAGTATAAGTTTCATAGGCTAGTGGTATTAACCCTACAACAGGTTAGATAATCCCTTAGGTTTTAATTTTTAACAATTATATATGGTTATCTACTTTAACTTTTTTTCTGTTAAAATAAATTTCTTTCTTAGGATTTGAATGATAGACTAAAAAAGCTAATTAATTCTTCATCTGTAATGCTGTTTATGAAAGGATCACCTGCAGCTCCAAAATGCGGTTTGTACAATTTTATTTTTAATTACTGAGACCATTATGATGAATTTTAAGAATTGTGTTAGCTGTTAGCATATTAATACTAGTTGCTTGTTTGGATTAAACCACAGCTCTATTTGTATTTTTTGGATATTTGATATATAGATTTATCCAGATCTTTTTATTCATAAGATATGTCTGATTAAAATAAAATAATTGTTTTCTATTTTTAAAATGGTTGAAAATGGTATATTTAAACAATTTTGAATATAATGAGTAATTTTCATACTTTTTTAAAACAATATAGGATTCAGCCGACAAATAACACAAATTTTGAATGAGCAAGGAATTAAATTTTCATCCTTTGATATTTTGGAAGATGATGATGTGCGTCAAGGTAAGCTATTTTTTGTCTGCATATTTTTAAATAAACTTTAAAAACAAAGTTTTAAATATTAGAAACCTTTTTATTTTCCTATTATAGTCATTTTTTAAGTCAAATGTTTGTATCTTAGGGCTCAAGACATTTTCAAACTGGCCTACATATCCACAGCTGTATATCAAAGGGGAACTTATTGGAGGGTTAGATATTGTTAAAGAGATGGTAGAGTCTGGGGAACTGAAAGACTTAGTTCCTAAAGTGGAAGATCTAAACTCAAGGTATGCATGTGTAGTAATAAAAATGCATATAGTTACCAAACTTTTACAAAGAAAAAACACAATAAATGATGGTTTATTCTTTGATCAACTGATTGTTGAAAATTGTTTTTCAAATTAAACAATATAGTGCTTTTGTGCACATGTGATACGTTTTTAAACAATACACATTTTCACTTTGATCAACTGATTGTTGAAAATTGTTTTTCAAATTAAACAATATAGTGCTATTGTGCACATGTGATACGTTTTTAAACAATACACATTTTCACATCCAACAAAATTGCTCAATAAGTACAACTTTCTGTGCCAGTATATCTCATTGATACGTTTTTTACAAGATATATATTGAAAAACTTTCTATTAAATGTTCACAACAGACAACTTAAACTAAGTCTCATATTTGAAAAGGTTTATATGCTTCTTTGCTGCCTTTAGATTTTATGCCAACAATTAATACTTAGAGAAAAATTTTACAAATTACAGATGGCCTATGAAATAGCTTTCTCTATACTTATCCCAAAAAATACTTTCACAATATTTGCTTAAAAATATGTTGATGCAATGATTATTTTCTAGTTAGAGCCTGTCTTTGAAATCATTTTATATCATAAATCTTTTACATTGATTAGCATTTTATGTATGAAAGTTTTTAATTATTTTTTTCTCAATTAGATTACCCTTTCCATATAGATTTAAAGTAGTTTATGAAATATTTGTGTATTTTATCTGTTATGATTTTCATTAAATCTTTGAACATTTTTTTATTTCAATTACATTAGATTGAAAAAGCTGGTTAACCAATCCCCTGTCGTTTTGTTTATGAAAGGAAATCCAGCAGCGCCACGTTGTGGTTTCAGTAAAACAACCGTCTCCATTCTTGATGAAGTTGGGTAAGCTTATTTAATTTTTTAACGTATTATAAATACAGTAATTAAGTATTCAACAAAGAGTTTAAAACTATTTTCTTCGCTCTTTCAGGGTTCCATACACCACTTTTGATATTTTAACAGATGAAGAGGTTAGACAAGGTTTAAAAACCTTCTCCAACTGGCCCACATACCCACAATTGTATGTAAAAGGGGAGTTAATAGGTGGCCTTGACATTATAAAGGTTTGTGATTCATTTTATGAAAACTTCAGCCTTAAACAAATATCTTTTAATTTTTGCATAGCTATGTGTATTGTCTTCTTCTTCGTTCTTAATTTTTAGTGTTGGGAAGGATCGAGCCTTATCTGCCAGAGGGTTTAAACTTGAGACTTTTTTCGAATTTATCAACCATGAGCTTTGCCGACTCAACCATGCTTCCATCACAATTAAGGATTACGTGTCAACTGGTTATGCGCCATTGAGGCCATTAACTCCAATTTCAGCCTGCTTTTCTTTTTGGATTTGCTTCCATAGCCTTTGTCCAACCAAGAACAAACTACAAGGCAGCAGTTGTTTGATTTTGGAGTTATCTCTCCTAGAAGAGTGGCTGTCCCCAACTAACGAGCCTCATCTGCCCCAGGGTTCGAACTCGAGACTTTTCGGTTTAGCAACCATGAACTTTACCGACTCGACCACGCCGATCCCCTATTGTCTTCTAATGATGTACAGTATTTGGGCCACGCCTCTTCCACCCTCTCTTTTCAATTTTCCCAATGGTCTTCAACTCTTGGTTTCTCCTTTTTTATTACCACTAAAAAAGGACAGGTGAAATGAAACAGCCATGTTTGACCATGAACCATTCACTTTTCCGATTTCCATGATGTGTACAGCATTGGGTTTTTGCATAATTGTCCTATATTATGTTGATAACTTTTCCTGGAAAGCCAGGAAAAGCTCTAATGTATACCATGATAGATGGTGGATACTATCAAAAGCTTTTTTTTTTCAAAATCTATGCAATTAATAAATTGATGGGAGTTTCATATTCCACTATTATGTAACAAATATTGGGTCATTGCATGGCCTATTACCCCTGAAGCCAGCTTGCTCTTTCATCTCCTTTTCACATCCTGCAGCAAGACTACAGAATTTTTTTCCTGGCACTGATAGTAGGTTAATAAGGATGTCATATCGCAGAGTATTTTAAGTCCGGTTCTGTTATATAAAATAGAACTTATCCTTGTTTTAATCTATTGCCTGCCCCCTAGGCGCATAAGCACTGTATTAAGGTAGTCTTGTTATATCTGGAGACAAGTTTACTCTGTTAATACGGCAATCAACTTGTTCCCACTCAAGATTACCCTTTCTTGCCTTATTCTCCATAATAATATCAACTCCTTGATATTGATCATCAGATGTAAGAGAGTAGACTACAGCTGCTCCTAAGTCTGTCCATCTAATTTCAATGATGCCCATAATGTTGACCCTGTATTTTTACATTTCTTTTGTTACTAAGCTGTTTTTCTAATTTCATACATGGTATGAACATTCCAAGCTCCTGTTCTGAGTTCTGGTTTGTGAGACTCTTGTGTCAAAACAGAGACTTCCTTGTGACTTTCATCTGTGCTCGTCATATTAGGCATCTATGTCTCATCCCACTTCTATCACATAGTAGTCACACATTTTTTACTAGCACAAATTCAAAATCCTCCTCCTTTCTATGTTAGACTTCTGACCAAACAATAATTGTTTTATACTAATACTAATGTATTAATTTGTTGATGAAATGTATCAATTGTTTTAAAACTTTATTTCAAATGTTAACAGGAATTAAAAGAATCAGGAGAACTGGAAAGCACTCTGAGAGGTTAATGTCATGACTGCTGTTATGATTCCACAAATTCTGTGAATGCCAGACATTTAAAACAAACCCCAATGTATTCAGTGATGTTTTGTTAAGCAGATAATAATTTAAAAACATTTTAAAATTGTATTTTTTGGTTAGCTCTCAATATTGCATAAGCACTAAATTAAAGCAGTTAAAATCATTTTTTTTTACTCAAAAAATGAAAGAAAAACTGTGCTTTTTTTCCAGTCAAAAATGTAAATAGTATTTACAAATTTTTGCCCTATATTGATCTTGAGAGTATGCACAGTCTGTTTTTCAATTTAAAAAAAGTATCTGTGAATAGCCTCAATGATTCAGACGATTATTTTCTTAAATGTTGATTAGTATTAATGCAGATTAATGTAACTAAATTAAGAAAGCTGCTTAAAGGTCAGTCAATGTCTTCACCTCAGTGGAACGTGACTTCCATTTTGCAGTAATATAAATATTTTTAGAGCATTTTCCTAGCAAGTGTGCAGAAGATTGTGTTAGATTTTAAGAATGCTAGATTTTAAGAAACACTAGTTTGGTATGTTCTGTATCGTTGCTACATTTTTTGTATGAAACTTTTTTTGAATTAAAATTGAGACAGAAATTTTGTGTTCTCTTGCGCTTCTATGTATATATATATATATATATATATATATATATATATATATATATATATATATATATATATATATATATATATATATATATATATATATATATATATATATATATATATGGTTAAGTGGTAGGCTTATGTATGCTAACATTAAAATCCAGAGTTTGGATCCCGAGCTGGAGTCTGTACAGCATCCTTGAGTCCACCCATCTCTAATGGGTATCTTATGTAAGGGAAACAAATACTGCTGGACATAAAGCTGACCACACTATCCCCTTGTATGTCGGCGAGGTAATTGAAACAAATGTGAACCCTATATGCGCCAGTTGTCTTGTGTATGAATGGGTAAAGATTAGGTATACATATAAATATATAGTTATAAATATACACATATGGATGGAGGGTGTGAGAAATGGATGGACACGAGATAATAAGACACAGGTAATGTGCATCATGCAAGGAGGGATTTTTCCATCCACATCAGAGATTTAAAAAAGTGTCTCATGGTATTTAAAAAAAATGATAAATCTTTGTCTCTTTCCTTAAAATATTGCTCTCTAGGACATTTTGCTGCAACATTAGTAATTTGTTGTACTTTTTGAACTTTGCTGCATTTGTGTGTTTGAAAAAACAAGCTGAACTGGACCTAAGTACAATGGGGTGTAATCCACAGACTACTAATATTAATAATTTACTAATGCTACTCTCATGTGACTGTGACAAATAGCTAAAGTTATGTCGAAATTCTATGTAAATATTTCCATGTGACTAAACTATGGTCCATTTTTTTAAAGCTTTCTCCTTAATCTTGCATATTGCGAAATATTACACTAACCTTTCTGAACCATAGTCCACTATTGAAAATCTTTAACTTGAGCTTGCACATTATGAAGCATCCATGTTGCTGAGATATTAATTTTAAAAAAGTTCATAGCTTTAAAGTCACCTTTAAAGTTTAATACACCTTAATAATATATGGTCAGTACTATGTCATCAGATGTATCATTTTTAATGGAGACAGTTGAAAAGAAATGGAAAAAATAGCCAATTACTGTACAGAAAAGTGTGGAAGGATGTTGTAAATGGCTTAGCTCGGGTCTGAATGGAAAAATGTAAAGAATTAAAATACACCATACACATTGCCCTGTCCCTCATTAGAGTGTGGACCCTGAGGTACAGTGGTGAAGATTGGCAAGCTGGAAAATGAAAAAAGAAAACAACAAACAACTGAAGTACCCTTTCAGACATTACAGTCCATTAGGCAGGTGGTGGAGTTCACATGTGACCTCAACATGTGTGGTCAGCACTGTGCTCGGCCGTCCTTACTTTCTCTCAGAGCTGAGTTGACTCCGGGACGTCCTACATATGCGAGCTTGGGATACAGTTGAAGTCTGAAAGTAGCAGCAACAATTTTCTTGTAGAAAAACACAAAACAAAAACAGCTGAACAGGAGCTGCTTGTATGTGGGATTCATATGGACTAATGAGCGCCTATTTGCATACAGAGTTTCTTCCAGACATCTCTTCAAGGGGTCGGAGCCCCCCCCCCCCCCCCCGAACGAAATGGAATTTATATAGAAAACATACTTTTACCAGTGTCCGCGCCAACCCCCCCCCCCTGGAAATTTTTTTCCGCCCCCCCCCCAATTATCAAGTGCCCCCCCCCCCCCCCCCCGGAGAAAAAAGTCTGGAAGAAACACTGTTTGCATATGCTTTTCAATCTCACTTTCTGGCCACCACATTTTCCCCCTCCTCCCCCTTATCAGATGAGCGCATGATTCGACAAACTATAAATAATGTTAAAAGTTACTTTTTCAACCGCTTTTCTTTATTTCATCACCTTTGTCATTTTTTTCTTTCTTTACTCGCCTTTTAAAAATTATCTTTTGATATATATTGATCTTTTGAAATATAAATCTTAAAGTGCGGATTGATTGAGAGAAAAGGTAAGGGGAGACAACAAACGAGTGGGTTTGTAGACAAATGGTTTTGTAATGAAAAAGGGAGCGAACTTCAGCGAAGTTTAGGGAAAAATAGTTTTTATGCAGTTATGTTCCTCTAGTCCATATAAACTAGACTTACACTGAATCATCTGCGCATTTTCAACAATTGTCATTTGATATATAAACACGTATAGGTTTGTTCATTCGACATAAACGGAACTTTTAAAAATCATATGATTATTTTTTTAACAGATGCGGATAGAAAGTTGATTACGCCGGGCATTCAAATCAATCATGGGCATCCACTGGCTCACTAAAATTCTCTTCTGATTGGCTCTTTTTAGACGTAACCCTTGTAGTAATCAGGTAATTAAAGTCTATGCTCTCTAAAGAAGGGACATACTTGAGACGTTTTAATTTTTCTTGAAAGTATGTATGTCTTACATCTTTAGAAGGGTTATATTTACTTTATTTTATAAACTTGTTGAGGAAGGGATGGAGAATATTGATAAAGCATTTAGAGAGGGGTCGGTTGTTGCGAGGCACGAGGTGGCACTTTTTAAAATCATAGTAACCGTGTGGATTAGTGAGTAAAGCAATATCAGTAGCCGCCACAATCTATTTTACATAAAAGTTTCCAGTTTACATTTTTAGTAATTAAATTAAAAGTAGTTCTATTTATGACACATTAAAAGAGGTTGTCTTTTTGCCAGATTCAATAATCGAAGCTTGGTCAAATCCGGTTGAACTAACACACACGCAGTTGCTATAGTTCCACGTTTCCAAACAACTATCAACAAGCACAACCGAACTCGCGTCTAAAAATAACCAGGTTATTTATAACCGCCGCGAAACAAGTCACGGCCGGGTGACGGTGACTGTTCATCTGTTAAATAAAACCTGCGGACCTACCCCTCGTACGATAGGACGCGAGTGGTATTTCCCCCCTCACTTTGACGACGCGCACAGACCCACGCGTCACACCGTCCGATCAAGCAAGCGCGGGTTGTTGGATTGTAATTTTAGTGGAAACCTGTCGGCGTGTTTTGAGCCAGGTGAATATCGCCTCAACTACCAGGATTTTTACATTTCAAGTGCCCCAAAGACAGAACTTTTAACAATTTTTTTTTACATCTATAGTTCTAGGATTAAGGTATGTACAGCATAAACTATTGTGTTGTTTTGGTTTTTAGTTTTAACACAGAACAAACAAATAAACAAACACAAACAAAAAATAACACATTATTACTTCTTGTTGTATACATAACAAACACATCAGAGAACTACTTGTTGCAAAACACACTAACATAACAAACACATCAGATGTGTAGGCTTTACAATACATTATAACACACAACAGAGTGGTTTATTATATACTAAATATACTAACATGAGAAATTCGCGACATCGTTAGTGTTTATAAATCGAACGAGCTGTTATTTGTGACTTAAAGCCGGCGTCCGTGTTGAAAGTTGGTCTAACGCTGATGAAATATTCATGAGTATCCACGGGCTACTGAGTGCGTGTAGGTGAAGTCTGCTACACAGTCTCGAGCAAACAATGTCGCCTACCTAGCGTGTCTGCGATATAAAGTGTTGGGATAACCTGTACGTGTTTCGTTCGTTGTACATTTGGTCACTTTTATTTTGAAAGTATAATTTATTTAATATTATTAAATTATTTTACCTTTTAAATTATTTTGTTTGCTTTTTCCAAGTTAACTTTAGGACTGTCAAGCTGATTAAATGCATTTTGGTGTCAGCAAATAGATATAGATCGAACAAGAGTTTAAAAACTTCATCCATTTCTAACTTAACGTAGATTGCATTGAAAAAGTTCTAGCATGTTTTCAAAGGCTGTGGACGTTTGTTTATTGGAAAAAAAAATATTCGTATGGTAAAACAGCAACTAAATTGTCGTATTTTTGTTTATCTGATAATTTAGTGTGCGTTTATCTTGGTGTTTGCTTATAACATCTGGTACTTGTGTGTGTGTGTGTGTGTGTGTTTATAATCTACTGTAAAAAAATACTGGTGTTTTTTTTCCTTAAAGCTATTGACATACAACCAGCAGCTGATTTCCTTCTGGCACAATGTTAGGTTTTTTTAAAAACTCGAATCATCATCACATTGATTAGGCGATTGTGAGGAGTCAGTACATAGTAACATAGCTAGGACCGAGAGACAAAAATAAATTAGTGAGAGGAGGTGGGGCGGGGCGGCTAGGGGTCATCCATAAATGACGTCACGCTTTTTAAAACGATTTTTACCTCCCCCCTCCCCTCCGTCACACGTCGTCACAAAAAGTCAGACCCCCCTAAAATGACGTCACACCTCAGCCTACAACCCCCCCTCGAAATTGCTGTTGGATTTTTCTAAAACATCGATATTTTGATCAATTCCTATTACAACTATTAAAACCGTATTCTAAAACGCGAAATAACGGCTAAAACTCGTTTTCTAACATTGCTTTTTATAATGCAAAACAAGTGACGTCACACCATCTGAACACCCCCCTCCCCCTCATCACACACCGTCACAAAATTACGGACCCCCCTTCCCCCTACGAGTGTGACGTCATTTATGGACGACCCCTTATGGACAGTTGGAAGTATCGAGTCTTCTTTGCTATTATCCTCTATTTCTCATTATATGTTAACCAGTGAATGAATGTTATTATTAAAATTAAATTAGCTGCTTGACAAATCAATCTAAACAAGCCAGTCAGTAGTACACACAAACGTGTTATTTGCTAATTAAGCCCCATCAGCGGCTTACAAGAACGTGACTGTTATTTGGTATTTGGGCTTTGTCGGCGGCCTTTTTCACAATATATTTCGAACCTTCAGGTAACATTAGGCTATTCGTACATCATTGTTCTTTTGTATCCCACAATGCTTGTCCTGTCATTATATACAGTCTGTTTCGGCTTTCATCGGTTATATTTAAACACACCCCCTATGTAACCAGAGAACTCGCCGCAGTTTATCCAAGAAATCCAACTTAAAAAGCAACTGGATCAACATATACACATTGTGAGCGCCCCGACCTACATATCGACCAGCAACCACTTTGGCGTATCCAACAAAGCACCGGTAATAACGGTGCCGGCAAATGCATGGCTCGGCGGTTCTGAGAGTTCGATACCACCAGCGAGAACCTGAGAATAATCGAAGCAGTTGCCTTAAGTTAGGCTTTTACTTGCGATCATCATGTGCTGCCACCAAACTCTAGGCATAATGCGAGAGTGGCACTGTTGTTTCTAAAGCATTTTACGTAGGTTCTTATTTAGATGGCCACGGAGTTTATTCCAACCTCGAAGAAAGTCTACCCCCCCCCTCAGAACGAACTGGAATTTATATAGAAAACAAATACTTTTATCCCTGTCCGCCCCCCCCCCCCCCCCCGGGAAATTTAGTCCGCCCCCCGAAAATATCAAGTGCGCCCCCCCCCCCCCCCCCCGGGAGAAAACACTGCCACTGTTATGTAATACGTGAATGGTTTCCGTCGATTTTTCCTGGCTTACTCTTATCTTATGGTTTTATAAGAGTATTTTGTAATCAGAAAGTACACTTCCAATTGTAAATGCTTCAACATTGGCTGTCGTTTGATGTCAAGATTGTGAGGAGAAAAAAATAGCCGTTCTCAATTTCCTTGAACTTAATGCATGACGAACCGGCGCCTCAAACTCTAAAGAGCTCTTTATTTCTCACCAGGCCCGTCATGTTTACTCTTTACAATAATCGAAACATTTTCTCAATAAGAGCTCAAAATTTAGAACTTTTACATTTACCGGCGCCATGCGGAAAAAAAGGCGAATGGATATTTAAAATGTCAACAAACCATCTTTTACACCTCAAATATCTAACCGCCAGCCACCCAAGTAGCAGCGTTTGGCCAGTCGGCGAACGGTGAAATCAATCAGATCTGTGCAAAAAGAAACCATCGCCATAGAAACAGACCAAGCAAATACTTTGACATTTGCTTGTCATGATAAGATAATACGGCAAACCCACTCCCACAACCTCCCCAAGCTGATGTGCGTGTAAGATGATTGAAACAGTTCGTGTGGGGTCTCTTATAGAAAAATATTGTTAATTTTAATATCGTAGGCCTATTTAAAGAAATTAATGAAAGGGTACAAAGGAGCTCATTATAAGACCGTCTTGATATAGGTGAAATGGAGTATAAAAACAATAGCCTGTGTAAGCAATGATTTTTTTCATATTATGTAAATACTGTTATGTAACGTTTAATACCAATTTGTTACGTAATATAACATTATGTTTAGCATAGGCACTGTATTGTATCTGTTATTTTATTAGCTAGAGTAAAAACTATGTCTTTTGCCTACGCTAGAAGAAGGGGGGAAAAACAAACTGGATCTGTAACTAAATTCAATATAACGAGCAAGTTAGAACTAAGAATGCAAAACAAACGCTGGCGATAAAAATGTCATGTTGTAAACTGCTCAAACTTTATACGGTTCAAGATTAATAAATCGTAGGACCTCGCCATTTGCGCGATTTTATTACATAATTAGAATCTAAAAAATGGTCTGAGTGGGGCATAAATATACATTAGGGAGTTTTCCCAACGTCTTTTATATACACACAGACCTTCTGGATGCACGGGGGACGAGTCTATAGATAAAAAGATACACGGGAGACATGTCTATAGACAATTTAGATATTCGGGAGTGTCCATATACCGTCTCATAGCTCAGACGTGTTTACTTTTTCTTTGACAGTCTTTTTTTTTAGTTCCTCTTACGCAAGAATTTTTAAACCACTTTTGTAATCCACCCTCCTAGCACTAAGCAAACATCGTTTGCTCTTATTCGACAGTCAGCCACATGTCTGAGCGACCTTGGTTTTATTCGACACCACTCCACCTATATTCATTCCGTACACCTGTATCTACTTAAGTGTAATGTTGGTAATATCTTGTTTCCTTGCAAACTGGGCTAAAAAATTTAATTTTGATTTTAACTTTAAACAATACTTTAAAGCCTATATTGGTAGATGTTATGTAACCTACACTACGAGACACATCATCTGAGTTCCCATAACTATTGACGGTACTAGTTTTGGGGGACTTCTAATCAGTGGCGTAGCGAGGTCGGGTGTCACCCGGTGCAGCACTTAATGGTGTCACCCCCAGAGGCGTAGCGACCCTTCCCGGGGACAAACTTTCAAATTTTCGATTTGCACCCCCCCCCCCCTCAAACTTTCGATTTGCACCCCCCTCAAACTTTCGATTTGCACCCCCCCCCTCAAGTTTTACTCTATATATTTTGCTATTTTTTGCCTTTGTGTCACCCCCCTAAATGGTTTCACCCGGTGCGGTCCGCAACCCCCCCCCCCCGCCCCCTCCCCCTCGCAATGCCTCTGCTTCTAATTAAAAATCTACTTAAACAATGAATAAATTGTTGAATGTTTGGATTCGCCAAACCCTACCACTATTGGTCTATTCAAAGTCATCCCCCAAAACCTCTTGTCGAATAAGGCGGTCTGCTTGTTTTTTTTTTTTTTTCTAAAGTTTAAAAAAAAATTCCAACTAGTACTTTTTTTCTAAAGCTAGTAGAAACAAAAACTCCTGGACTAAAAATAACGACTTAAAAAAAAAAAAATGACGAAAGACCAATTAAAACTGGACCAAGATCTCACCTCCGCTGGGACGGGTCACGTGACACTTTCAAGTAGTATTTTTTGTGTTGACATTGAGACCAAGCCCTTAAAACTGTAACATTCAGGTCTCTCGCTGATAACGGTGAATAGTACCAACGTTGACCGCTAAACTACCAGCTGGCACAGTACCAGTCTCCAACAATAAAACCACTGGCACGGTACCAGCGTTTAACGTTAAACCACTGGAACGGTACCAGCGTTAAACGTTAAACCACTGGCACAATACCAATGTTGAACGTTAAACCACTGGCACGGTACAAATGTTGAACGCTAAACCACTGGCATTATACCAATGTTGAACACTAAACCACTGTCACGGTACCAATGTTGAACGTTAAACCACTGGCACGGTACAAATGTTGAACGCTAAACCACTGGCATTATACCTATGTTGAACACTAAACCACAGTCACCGTACAAATGTTGAAAGTTAAACCACTGTCACGGTACCAATGTTGAACGTTAAACCACTGGCACGGTACCAATGTTGAACGTTAAACCACTGGCACGGTACAAATGTTGAACGCTAAACCACTGGCACGGTACCAATGTTGAACGCTAAACCACTGCCACGGTACCAATGTTGAACACTAAACTACTGACAGTAATAGTGCTTCGCGATTAAACCCCGGAACTTGTTTTTCCAAATTTGATTTAATTATTTGGACTTTATGCATGGCTTTATTAAAGCGACACTTTTACATTACTTTCTGTTCCAAATTAACTATTTAAAAAAATCTGGCCGTATACTTCTTAGTTATACTTGTTTGGCAAGTGGTCTGTGATTTAAGACTCAGTTGACAAAAAAATAAGATAGAATTTCATTCATGTAAATATGTTGCTTACATTTTTGAGCTATTTCTTGAGTTACGCAGTATCACAACGTATAAGCCGATGATTTTAATGTTTTTAATTCAATACAAGTACTAATATTTTTAATTCAATACAAGTACTACTATTTTTAATTCAATACAAGTACTAATATTTTTAATGTAACATAAGTACTAATATTTTTAATTCAATACAAGTACTACTATTTTTAATTCAATACAAGTACTAATATTTTTTTAATGTAACACAAGTACTAATATTTTTAATTGAATACAAGTACTAATATTTTTAATTGAATACAAGTACTAATATTTTTAATTGAATACAAGTACTTTGAGTTTTGACAGGTGTTCAAGATTTAAATTAAAAATCCCGATAAGATCATTGTTTTAATTAATACAAGAGGACTTCTTTTAAGCTGATTACAATTTGAAATCTTAGGCTCAAAGATTCTGAATGATGTATTTTTATCTCAAGGACAGAATCCAATTGTTTCTTCAGCCATTGATATATTCTAGATGTTTGTTTATCTGTAAAACCCGATCTTTACATAGTGATAAGATTGCCGTAAACATTGCTCTTGACAGCTTGAGAAGCATAAACTAGCTAGTGTGCATAACAGATGCATGGGAGCCATATATCAGCTAGTGTGTATAACTGTAACAAATGTCTGGGACCCATATATCAGCCAGTTAATATAACAGAATGTATGGGAGCCATATATCAACCAGTGTATATAACAAAATGTCTGGTACCCATAATAATATATCAGCCAGTGTATATAACAAATGTCAAGGACCCACATATCAGCTAGTTATATAATAGATGCATGGGAGCCATATAACAATTAGTATATGTATTTATATTTATATATATATATATACACACATTCACACACAAACACACACACACACACACACATATATATATATATATATATATATATATATATATATATATATATATATATATATATATATATATATATATATATATATATATATATATATATATATATATATATATATACTTATATATAACTAATGTATGGGAGCCTAAAACTGAAAGCTGTGATTAAAGTTTTAGGCCGACAGATGCAAAGCTTTGAATCGCTGGGTGAAAATGCCATTGTTCACCTGGGGGTTAAAGCTCCGGCTTTCAAACACTCTAAACAGGTAACGCAGTGACTCGGCATGCATAAAAAAGATCAATACAAACCATACACCCTAAGCCAGTACAAAAGTATTATTTTGATATTTGAACTTCGCGGAATACTTGATAATACGTGTGTAGAAGTTGTTTTTTTTTGGTAATGCTCCTTTATCTGACCAGTTACCATTTTAAAAGAATTGCATTATCGATATTTTATCAGCTTAAAAAGCAAAAAAAAAAAGGTATCGAGTCTTAGGCAAAGAATGGCAATCGATACTGGTAATGACATAATCGTCAGGCTGCCATCGCTTTGTCTTGTTCTTTTGTTTGGTTTAAAGGGAGACAACAAGTTCCATGCAGTGGGAACTCAAAAAATTTCATGGGCGTGTTTCCGGCAGACGATCGCCATTTCAGAATGAGCGTCCGTGGTTTGATGATTCGGCGGTTCTCTTTCTTGTGAAAGAAATGCAGTTGTCGGTTTGCCTCTTTCAGTGATCGAGTTATCCAATCACAACACTGACAACATCATTTGATAATCTGTACAGGCTTTCATTCAGACATTTTTTTTCCGCGGGGTGCACTTGAAACTTCAAGGGGGGGGGGGGAGTACTTAAAATTTCGGGGGGGGGGGGGGAGGGGTTGGGGCGTTATAGTATAAATCTAAAAAATTGTTTTCGTCCGTGATGGGGGGGGGGGGAGGAAGGCGGTGGATTTTTTTTTGGATGCCTTAAAGAAACTGCATCCACACAGAAAAAAATTTGTGTTTAGACAACACAAGTATCAAAAACAAGTTGTCGAAACACGACTTATATTTGATCAATGGAACTCCCAGCATTCCCGTCAAGTTCATTTGTTATTTCAAGTAGGCCTATATATTCAATGAGTGTAATCCAATCCCTTCACTGAGCTGCCTAGAGTGACACCGCAAGTTTTTGAAGATACGTCTTTCTGCCATGTCAGTGTGACATTTTTAGCTAGAGGTGGTATAAATTGTAAATTAAAACAACATAAAAGGCTTAATGATTCCGTTTTCTTTCCATTAATATTCGTTTCCGAAACGAGTTGCAGGAAAATTAAATAGAAAACCATGGAAGTTATAAAATATTGGGGAAATTACATGCAAATATCAATAACCATCCAGTGGTACAGTGTCACAGAAACGATATCATGTTTAACAACATCGAAACAAAAGCGTGAATTTCTAGTCGAGGGAAGTTTTTACATTGCACAACAAAAGATATCTGTAAAGTTGAGGGGTTGTATTTTTCGGTGATGTGGTGACCATATAGCTAAAACATTAACACTGCAATAACAAAGATTTGCAAGTTTTTAACATAAATGACGACGGGCTAAGTCGCAGGATGTATTAGACTCCATACTTCAGACAGCTTCGCTTCCTCTGTCAAATCTTTTTGTCTTCTGAATGGGACAAAGTGCTATTCTTAAACGTGCATTAAATAATGGTGTCAGCCTTTAATCCTTTTAACAAGCCCAGGATTAAAGGATAGATGAAAGGGCTCGATTTGAATGCCGTAATTAAATCTAGAAGGGCTTCTCAAGCTTAGCAGTTTTTTGTCCGTATTTGTTTCAGATCTGAATCAGTGGCGGAACTAGAAAAAATGGGCCGTCCCGCAAATAATTTTTTTGGGCCCCCCCCCCCATATATGTATATATATATATATATATATATATATATATATATATATATATATATATATATATATATATATATATATATATATATATATATATATATATATAACAAGGTTCATTCTCAATTTAAAAAAAATTCCATCTGGTACACGAATAAATCAGAGGTTTTCCAACACACGAGCTGGCCCCTTTCTAAATATAGTCCAACACACTAAACTGAGGCTTTCATCAAAACGTTACTAACCGTGTGCCCTGTTTTCCAGAAGTTGAATTAAATGTTAACAATGTCGGCAGTTCATTTCTTGGATCTTAGGGCGCGGGTTTGTCCACACTACCAACTAGACACGCCAAGGCATGCTGTAAATCCCTCGGCGACGGCCCAGGTGTCAGGGGAGTCACGGGGCTCTTGGAACTACCGGTTACATTACTGCACGGGTGATGGGTGTGACACATTGTTTCTTCCGGCAGAGCTCCCCCCCTCCCCTCCCCCGAAAACAGTCTACCCTGGAAGAAACATTGGTGCGACACCTAATTAGATTTAGTCATCGAGTGTAGTAGCGAGACTTATTCCTAGTGAGGGGTGGGGGTGGGGGGGAGGGGGGGGAGAGAGTTGGGAAGGGAAGGGGACAAGAAAGCGCCGATAAACATCTACATCAATAGTGCCGACTTTTTCCGATCGTCTAGAACATGGGTCTCCAAACTTTTCTGTCCGAGGGCCGCATTAACTATAAAATTTCAGTTCGAGGGCCAGTTTCTTCCAGGCATGTCTTTGATTTTCTGGGCAAAGTTCCTAAGCCATCAGCAAAAAACGGTTTTTCTGTGGACAAAAAGATCTCCGCGGGCCGGATAAGAGGACATCGCGGGCCGCTTCCGGCCCGCGGGCCGTATTTGGAGACCCCTGGTCTAGAAGACCAGGATAGTCGCCTCGCCGCAACATTTCCCCAGCCCGATTTCAAAGCGTACCGGCACAGTCAAATTTCAGATGCTTCGTCTTTGAAGTTGTCTATATGTCTGGCGGTCTCTCGAGCTATAGTCAGTGCATTTTTTCTCAAAGACGTTTGCCGACTATCGTGTTTGTTTGTAACTGTAGAAGAAAGATAACTCGACCTCCACCTATTTTTTTTTTTAAATAATTTAGCCAGGATTTTTGGGCCCCCAATTGGTCTGGCCCCCCCCCCCCCCGCATTGCGGCGTCTGGCGGCACTGTAGTTCCGCCCCTGATCTGAATAGTTTAGAGTAGAAATGAATACGGTATTAGAATCGAGAACATGTGAGGTGTATTAGACCGCTTTATTCTGTTTGTTATCAACTGTTTCAAACACAATTACCCTAATCAATGTTATAAACAAAGTAAAACTGTTTAGTTTTTAAAATAACTTTTTATACATTTGTAACATTCCTAAAATATACCGTAAGAACTTTAATAATTTTTCGTTTTATCTATTTTTTTTTCAGAATTAAGCAAAGATGTCTACTAAATTAAACGGACACTCTAATGGGATGAATGGGTACAGCAACCATTCTATTAAAACTGCCACTAACGGCTTCCATGAAAAAACAATGAACGGCGATTGCCACTCAGAGAAAAAAGAACCCCATCGGGTTTTAAAAATACCTAAGGAGCCTTTTAAATTATTCGGTAGTTTTATTACCCTCAAAACAAAAATAAGCATGGATGACGATGAATGGATGTACACAGGGGAGCCCCACACTGGCAGAAGGAAGGAGATTCTCGACAAACACCCGGAAATCAAAGAACTGATGGGACCCGACATGTGGATTGTCGTGCCGACCACGCTGTCTGTTATTTCACAGTTTATCCTTTGCTGGCTAATAAAAGACAGCTCCTGGCCATTTATTATCTTTATGGCCTACTGTATAGGCGGTGTGTTTAACCATTCACTGGGCTCAGCCATTCATGAAATCGGACACAACCTGGCTTTCGGGCACGGAAAATATGCATGGATGAACCGGGTTCTTAGCTTAATGTGCAACCTCCCCCTCGGTGTCCCGATGGCCATCACCTACAAAAAATACCACGCCGACCACCACCGGTATCTGGGAGAAGAGTACCAGGATGTGGACATCCCAACCAGATTGGAGTCCTGGCTTTTCAAACGTCCACTCACAAAGGTGATTTGGCTCCTATTGCATCCTATTCTCCATTCCATCCGTCCTTTTTACAAAAGCCCCAAACCTTTAACCGGCTGGGAGATGATCAATACGCTAGTCCAGTTCTCCTACGACCTGCTAATTTTTCAACTGTTTGGCATCAAGCCCGTTGTGTACATGGTCGCTGGTACTCTCTTGGCCCTTGGGCTACACCCCCTCGCAGGCCATTTTATTTCCGAGCATTACATGTTCACCAAAGGCCAGGCCACCCATTCCTATTATGGGCCATTGAACTTTATCCTCTACAATGTCGGGTACCACAACGAGCATCACGACTTCCCTTACATTCCATACACCCGTCTAGCTGAACTGAAGCGGATCGCCCCGGAGTATTACGACAACCTGCCTTACCACACCTCGTGGATCAAAGTCGTGTGGGATTTTATTTTTGACAGACACATGGGTCCTCATGCCCATGGCGTAGGATACATAAAGAGCAACACTTCGACAAAATCCGCGTAGAGATAAAATAATTTAGGCTTATATTATCGCTAAAATGATTCATAGTTTATCTAAACGTTTTCTACACGTCAAGAGTGATCCTTGATTAAGGCTAACCGTAGAATAGCGTGCAGCATAAAATAGAGACTAACTGTAGCATAGTATGCAGCGTCAAGTAAAGGCCGAGTTTAAGTACTTTTTTTTTTCTTAACTCCTATGCAGATTTCAGTAAAATCTATAAATCTATCGAACGGCCTACTTTCTTACGTCTTCAGTCACGGGTTTGAAAAACAAAAACAAAAAATGTGACAGTAGCTGTTGTCAGAGAAATAAGGCGAACATTTCCAACAGTTTATCTTATGAAAATTATGTTTTAGGGTGCTAAAGCTAAGGACTTTTTGTAGTGGGAAGGTAATAAATACCAAAATTATGCGTGACACTAAGTTTAAAACAATACATTTTCGATTCATTTTCATAATTCAGTGGGGTACAAATTTTAGGCAAATACTGAAAACCCTTTAGTTTTGGAGATGTAAGCTAACAAATAGTGACGAACACGAATTTCCACTTAACGAACGAGGTTGTAAATTAAATAGCATCGCCAAATACGAGTCTAAAATTTCTCATTGCTTTTTAAAGCACATATCAAAATACTTTAGACATTCTGACCAATAGTGAACATTAAAAAATCAGATAAGGAGTTGTCGCCAAGTTGTAAAAATGATTAACATGCATTAGAAATCCCGCCTTGATTTTGTAATTAATATATAGTTTAGCATTCCATGTTCTATGTCTATACCTGTTTTAATGCAATTTTTTTGATTATTTACTATACACTAATTTCTGTTTTTGGTATATATATATATATATATATATATATATATATATATATATATATATTCACTTGTTTTTTTATGACTATCAGAGATTTTGATAAATAAATATCAACTGTAAAATAGGCTAGTCTGACCATCTGTGACAAGCCATGACTTATTCCAATGGCTACCACCATGATGTAAAAAACAAATTCTATACAAAAACAAACTCTATTTTATTGTTTGTTTATATACTTTACACTTTATTAAATGATTGCCTTGTCTTATTGTTTTTTTAAATAATTGCCTTGTGCAGTACATATTTAAAGATTTCCACATTCCACGCGAAGCATTTGTGATTATTTATTCCTGTTTTTTTTTGTTTTGTTTTGTAAACTAACGTTCTAATTGTTCACTAACAGAAGTCGCACCCTAGGGTTCCATTTGTTAAAAAATGGCCACGGCCTAGTCAGAAGTTAAGATACGTTTACCAAAGCATCTGTTACATAGACTAATTGTTTTAAAAATGTTTAATTTAGAGTTTTTATATATAGTACTGATATATTATATAGATGATGTATCATTTTACCCACCAAGACCCATTTGACGATGTAAAGTATTTAACCCCCCCCCCTTCCCTTTACCACATATCTGGGAACTACCCCTTACCATCCAAGTTTCAGATCGCAAATATATATATTTTTTACAATAAAATAAGCATTATCTGAATTATTTCCGTTTATATAGAGAAGATTGTTTATTAAGTCTTTCATTATATTGCGGTAAAATTTAGAAAAAAAAAAGAGAACCGTTTACCATAGCTGCTCTTTATATCCTGCTAACAACACACTTACCTTTAAAAGCTAAAAGCCGACATAAAATGCATGATCCAAAGTGCATTTGGGGGTCAGAAATTAAACGATAATTTTAAAAAATGAGAACAGTTAATGAACGTTAACAATTTTAATCAAATTAAACTAATCAAGCAACTGAGATCAAAGGGGAGGGGGTAATTGAAAATGTAAAAAAAAAAAAAGCTTGACGTCTGTTTTTAGGAAGTGTGTCATCGAAATTCGGTGTTCAATGTTGTACTTGGACATTGACCTATAGCTATATTTAGATGCCTTAGGTCAACTGTCGAACATACCCTCCCTTTTATACCTTTAAACCTAGAGCCTCAATGATAGACATAGGCGACGCCCAACACTAGCTACTAAGTTAGGTCTGCACGCCGACTGCAAGCAACGTAAGTTGTCTGGACCACAAAGTCTACATACAATCTTTGTTAAAGTTCCCATGTCCAAAGTTAGTTAAGTGTAGACACATTTAGGTATCAGTTTTTTAAATAATGATATAAATTAACATGCACATAGAGAGAACATTTTTATTTTTCTTACGTAAATAAAAATGATTTTTATACAAATATTTCTTTACATATTTTGTGAATCTATAACACTGGTGTTTGTTTTTGAAAGTTTAATTTACAAATACTTTTTTTTAAATCCAAATAAAACTGTCAATATATTATTCTCAGAAATATGATGATGTTTTTCCAATTCAAAAAAAATGTCTGCCTTCTTCATGAGAATATGAATTGCTGGTTATGAAATAAATATAATTTGCTTGTAAATTTGTTTTAACAAATTTATTTATCTTTTTTCTTAATTTGACTGCAAAACAAATCGCTACCAAGGTACTATAAGGCAAAGTTTTACACTGTAGCGGCACAGGTCGAGGCGGCTGCGGTCCACACCTGGATGACACCATTTTGGGGAGAGACCAAGTCGACAATGCTTAAAATTTACGGACCAAACAATGTTTTTATACAGTAAGAATAATGAACTAGTTGGTGGAGAGGGGGATGACAACACACCAAAAATGCTCAATTGTTGGAAGGGGTGGCAGCTTACCGCAACGGGTGACACCTGACCTAGTGACGCCACTGGTTATACATACAAGTATGATATCGCCAGTTTGCCTGCATCCAGGTTTGATTAGATCGCAGCTCAACAGCCATGTATGATGTATTCACAATTACACACATAAGTGTGACGTAGTCTCAATTATACACCTATGTATGATTTAGTCACACGTTTACACCCAGTAACTGTGTAGTCATACACATACAAATATGACATAGTTACGGCTAAACACCCAGGTGTAGCGTAATTTGCACACCCACCCAAGTATGGTTTAGCAACAGTTATATGCCCGCTAATGATGTAGCTAGTTGCACATCCATGCAGGGTGAAGGCAGTTATACGGTCAATATAGTGCAGTAACGTATAAACGTATCTCACTCACTATTTTTTTTCTCTCTCTCTTTATATATATATATATATATATATATATATATATATATATATATATATATATATATATATATATATATATATATATATATATATATATAGGGGTATTTAGTTGTGTTACCCGAAGCAGACGCAGTTAATTAATACAAAAGGAAAAGGAGACTTTCTTTGTTGCTTTATGTCGTTTGTTAGTCAAATGAACATCCCTTCTGCCGAGCGACGCTTTACCCTAACGGATTGTACGTCGTGAGAACGAGAAACTCAGGCCTAATAAATTATCCCCTCTGGCGCTAACAATCGTGGCCAATGGTCAGCATAAAAGCTACTATTGTCCTGTCTACGATGTCTGTCTCTTTGAACCGTTTATCTATTTTTCCGCCCCCCCCCCCCCCTGCGGTGTACCCTGTAATTATACCTTATAGATTAAATGGCTACTGATGTTTCTCCGAAATTACATGTGGAATTTCGCACCCTACAATTAATATCTTATATTTTACTATCAGATTCTTATGCTGAATATGTTTCCTATTAATAGTTAAAACAAATCACTGTTAAGTCTGTCTTTATTTGGCTGCTGATTAACTAAGAGATATACACAACTAATCGTATACTGGTATAAAAAAACGTGTAGCATTGATATTATTCACAGGTGTGCGTTTATAACCTCGGCATATCTCTAACCAATGACATAATGCAGTTATTTCGCAATAACAATGTAGCTATGTTCTAAATACAGGGGTGGTTGATTTAATCCGGGTAGAGAGTTGTGAAACAGGATTGCAAGATTGCATTACCTCGCAAACACATAAGGAATACACACCTTAAAAAATGATTACGCAACTTTTTATTTCCTGTTAAGTTAATCTTTACCCTGTATGGACAAAACACCTTTAATCATAGACCATCTATAAAAAAAAAACGTTGGTCAAAGCCCATGTTACGGACAAAGCACCCACGGTCAAATCACTTATGGTCAAAGGTCGGCGTACCAGGAATCCTAATCTACTGGCCTTTGGTGAACATGTATTGCTCGGTAATGGGGGTGCTATGGTAAAGGGAAATGTGTAAATAATTCTTTCAGGGCACATAGGTTTTTGTTTTGATTCATTAATTAATTTTCTTTTTATTTGGCGTTTGTTAAATGTTTTTTTTTTTGTGTGTGAAGGTTCTGCTTTGGGTTAGTAGTAAGTTAAATTTAGATTGGTGTTTGAAGATGTATGTTAGCTTCAAAGGTTTTGTAGGGTTGGGATGATTGATCAGTTACCTAGCAATCACGATCAAGCAACTAATGATATGATGGTTTGCAATTTTCCAATGGGGTCTCAACCCAATATCCTTTCGATGGATCTGGTATATGAATCTGATCAGTTAGACATTGTTTGCTCTGTAAAATTACTTTACGTTTACTATCACACCTTCTTTCAACTCAATTTTTGCGAAGGCATTGATTTTCGTAAATGATTTATTATATTAATCCACCTACATAAAGCGTTGTTTTCTCTGACCATTTTTTTCTCTTCCTACCACATACTATTCTTCCTTCGCCTCTCCCCAAAATGCTGAAACTCCTTATGAATACGCGACAACTGGAAAAGCATTACATGTTAAGTCACATCCATCCCCTGTCGATAAATGACGTATCAGTAATCGAAGGTACTCAATAAAAAATTTTCCACATTAAGTTTTACAAACGTTTCAGCGTGTGTCACCTCACCTCCCATTTTCTGGGTGACAGCTTTAAACTTTTCCTAGATTATGGTAACGATGTTTATCTGTAGTCGGTTTTTAAAACAGCTGATTGTAGACTTATTTTCTCTATTATTAGCAAGCTTTATCTAGGTGTCACCCCCCCCCCCCTACACAAAACTTGCCTGGAGTTATCAATGTATACATATAATTTGTACTTCCCCCTTGTGACGTTATTGTATCCAGGTAGTTTTCACTTTTATAAGTAAAGTGCTGCTAACTTGGTGCAAGGGTGGGACACTTGAATCTTCCGAGCGTGGGGGGGAACACATAGATAAAACTTACTAGATATTTTTTTCTATGTATGTGCCCCCCCCCCCTCCTACGGGAAAACATTGATCTCATTTCTAGCAATGTTGACGGATATGGGAGAGGGTGGGGGGGGGGGGTATTGGTGCAGGCCAGTCATTGAATTGATCGTTAAGTGTCAATAACAGATCTTTTTCAAGCCGGCCGCAATACAACAACTGATCGCTGCTAAATACAGCATCAAACGCGGGGGTAATCCACCGGATTATTGAGCTAAAATGTTAATTTACTTGATATATTTGAAACAGTTATATTCTCTTATGTTTTAGTAGCAAATGCGTTACTTGACACAAAATAATAAATGCGAATAATATGAATAGCATGAGCATTAATGAATACACGTTTTATCGTGCATGCCTATCTAAATTTTAACAATGAAGGTGTTGAATTCCGATAGTGACAGATGTATCTTGTTTTCGTCATTTGACAGGCGTGCCCCCCTCCTACCCTTATCAGTTACCGCACCGTGTTACATTTGACCTTGTGACTCCACTGGTCACCCAAAGATGTTTAACCTTTTCACGAGGAGTGACGAAGACAGTTGCACCATTATTTAATTTTTTAATCAACAGATAGACTAACACATTTTTCAGGGCATTGTTAAGCCTCTACACCAAACATTCTTGAAATACTTCCAATTAGACTACGCTTCGATACAAAACAAGAGCGCTAATACTTAACATACCTGAGCTATTGTAAACCTTTGTAATGGATTTTGTAAAGCTTTAATTCAACAGTTGATTCTTTTTAGTTGATCTGATTGTGGATTATATTGTTTCGTCTTCATGAACACACTTTTATTTAAACACTGTATTTTGTACTGCAATATTTGCAAATTTGATTTTTTTTTGCCTATTCGCAAATGTTCGCTCAAGTTCGACATTCGAAGCTTTCAAGCTATTATGGTTATGCCGTTCTAGAAATTTAATTAGTCGCTGCGTTAATTTGTTGGGGTTCAAAGTGGGTTTGTATTAGCTTAAGCGCTAATTGTGTGAGTTATTTTAAGGTTTGTATTAGGTATAGTGCTAGTTAATTTCAGTTTTGAGTAGGCTTTTGCAGAGGCGTAGCGAGGTCGGGTGTCACCCGGTGCGGCACTTAATGGTGTCACCCCCCCAGAGGCGTAGCGACCCTTCCCGGGGACATACTTTCAAGTTTTCGATTTGCACCCCCCCCCCCTCAAACTTTCGATTTGCACCCCCCCCTCAACTTTTTCTCTATATATTTTGTTATTTTTTGCCTTGGTGTCACCCCCTAAATGGTGTCACCCGGTGCGGTCCGCACCCCCCGCCCCCCCCCCTCGCTACGCCCCTGGGCTTTTGTTTTACTTCAGTGATGATGCTGATTATGTGCTCAACCGATAGTGATCTATTTATATATCTTAAAATTAGCTTTATTATCTTGGACACCCCTGTTACTGTTTTTTTTTTTAATTTTAATTTTGTAATTCAATTTCTTTGTGTTGAATTCACACACTCTCTGTCAGACTGGGCAATTTTTTTTGTCCCTGGTGAGGCCACTACTACTGTCTTGTTTCTCGACTGATTACCTTCCCCCTCACCCGCACACATTATGCTAATCAAGAAGGAAGTATAAACGGTGGTCAAATGCGTGTGTCTGTGTGTTGGAAATGTATTAGAAGTGCTAAATTCTCCAAATAGTGTCTTCATTCATAGGATCTTAAATGACGCAACGAAAATTTACTATTTCCTTCTTCCATTTTATTTTTAAAACTTAAAAATATATGCTGTCACATACCTATACCCCCCCTCCAACTGCCTTATCAGGAAGGTCAGAATATTCCCGCCTTCCCCTCCATGTTAGACGGCATTTATGGACAATCTCTCAATAGAGCTGCTCGAGTCGTTATGCCCTTATAACTTTATAAGAGGGAGAGAGGGAGAGAGGGGGAGAGGGAGAGAGAGAGAGAGTTTCACTGCACCAGGCCGCTACATACATACGTGCCCTGGTAAACAGAAGCTCCCCAAATATGTTCACTGATGCATGACGAGTAAGTTTTTATCAAGGCCGTACGTGCCTCAGCCCAACATTCTCTGTCGTTCCCTACAGATCGAAATATTTTAGCTGAGGTGGTGATGGAAAGAAAAAGCCCGCGGCACAGGTGATAAAAGTAAAAATGAGGATTTTTAAATAGATAGCATTTTCAATAGTACAGACAGAGTTTACCGGCTCAAACTAAAGTGAAGCGGAATATCTATTTACACACAATTAGCATAACTAAACACACATAGACGTATATATATATATAT